TAAAATTAGATTTTAATACCAACAATATATTTTTGAAGAAAATAAATATTACCAGCAATATAAGTTTGAAGGAAAAAAAATATTACAAGCAATACATTTTTGAAGGAAAAAAATATTACAAGCAATACATTTTTGAAGGAAAAAATATTACAAGCAATACATTTTTTGAAGAAAAAGATATTACCAGCAATACATTTTTGTAAATAATTATTACCAGCAATACATTTTTGTAAATAATTATTACCAGCAATACATTTTTAAAGGAAAAAATATTACCAGCAATACATTTTTGAAGGAAAAAAACATATTACCAGCAATACATTTAAAAAAAATATATTACCAGCAATAAAAATTTTGTCGGCCTTAAATAACCCATTGAGGTTGATATACCATAAAACAAACCAAACCAAACCAAGGATTCCTAACCTTTTTTGCATCATTGCCCATTTTTACATGGAAAAATCTTCCACTGCCTACTTGTATAGTAAATATTCAAAAACATACAGTGATGGGTAAATTATTTTTTGAAGGGCCTTTTTCCTTCCTTGATAAATTCAAAATGGCCAATGTGATAAAAACTATATTAAAACTTATCAGAAAATATCAAAATATTCTTTGTTTGCAGGGATATTTATATCTTATCTAAGAATGTTACCCAGTTATTCTCATTTAGACTCCTATTGTTTTATTCTTTGCATATCTTCTTTGAATATTTTTTGGGTAGCATATATTGAAATACCATTTTTAATACTCCAAATTCTATATCACCCACCAAAATTTCCAATTGCCTACCATCTTCTGTTCAGTTGCTCATTGGCCACCTAACAAATGAAAACGCCCACTGGTAGGTGATATCACCCAGTTTGGGAAACCCTGTTCTAGACTCTAATAAATTCATAAGGTATTTCTTGTGAATTTATTTGAGTCATAGGTAAAACATCTAGGAATTGAAATAAAAGAATACATAAACAAAAAAGGAATGTTTTATGAAACAGTGTACTCAGTATATTAGTTGTTCACTGTAATAATGTTCGATCTTAATTTTGACTTAAAGAATGCAGTTTTAATTAAAAGAGAAAGTAATTTATTATAGTGAAAGTGTAATAATCTGTGAATTTTCCAGAGTGGATTTACTTCCATGTTCATATAATAGCAATAAAAAGAAAAACAGTGGTAGAAAGTTGAATAAGTTCAGCTAGTTAGTGCATCTAGACCAGTAGTTTTGAACTAGTGTTCATATGTACCTTGGGGGTCCATGTAACATTACAAAAAAATAGCAAATTCGGGGTTAATTACTCACATATTTTAAAATGGTTTATTATGAGTTATTTTATTAGTGTACATAAATGTTCTGTATAATTTAGTTGTTAAATACAAGTTTATTTTCATTAAATTAATTTTACTTCAAAATAAAGCATATACATTCATTTACTATTTCTATAATCCAATTCCTAAACTTATCTATTAGCAAAAAATAAAATAAACTTTTTTTTATCGAATGGTTATGAGGGTTCACCAAAAGAAATTAAGAGTAAAAGTGGGCCATGGGTGAAAAAAATGTTGATTGATTGAGACACATTGGACACCAAAAATTTGAAATTTAAATTAAATAAATTAAATGCATTTCAGCATTGCTCTTGATGTGTAATAATCAATGTTTGTTTGTATTTTATCCCCTCTCTCTACATATATATGATTCTACTAAATAAAACCAATTTATATTTAGTTTAAAGAAGTTTGTGTGTAGGTTGTTCTAGAGGATTATAATGGATGAGTTTATTGTTGATTACTAGTTTGTGATGGGAGGAATTATAACTTATTGCCAATAAAGACTTTATTTTAACGAATTCAACATTTTTAAATGAAATGAATTTCAACATGTAGAGGAATTTTTATACATCATACTTATTATAAAACCTAGGTTGTGTGTGTGTGTGTACGTTTATATATTGGATCGGATTTCCTACATTTTTCAACCGATTTCAACAAAACTTCACAGGACTACGAAATTACCTTTGTGTGGTTCTGACAGCACCAAAAATTGGAAAAAACACAATTGTTTTTGCATGAAATCAATTTGAAAACATGATTAAGAGGCATCGTGAGAGTGAAAGGAGACAACTCATAATGAGTTATACTTATTATAAAACCCAGGTTGTTTGTGTGTGTGTGTGTGTGTGTGTTTTTATATATGGGATCGGATTTCCTACATTTTTCAAACGATTTCAACAAAACTTCACTTTTTTTTTTTGGGTAGTGTTTCTTGTTGTCTTACACTTTTTTCTTTTATTTTTACATTCAGAATGCTTTAAAAGATTCTATTTACAAGACAATTGTTTATAATAAAATTCTATTCAATCGGTAGACTCATAACGATTGAAAACAATGTTTTTGTTTGAGTTTGGATTTGACCAATTCATAAAAAAAAACAAAAACAAAACAAAACAAAAAAAAAACTAATTAAGACATGCGTGTCCGTCAACCTTAAACAATAATCTTTGTCAATTTTATTTTTCAGTCTTTATGATGGTCGATACTTAATCTCTCTCTTACGGTTACATCCCCGGGCAACGCCGGGCTCTACTGCTAGTATTTATATAAAGTACAACATTGCTCATAAAAGCAGGAAAAGAGAAATTTATAGCTTTATGTATACAAATAGACAAGGCTCATAAAAGAAGATAAAGCAAAAATTATACTTGTGTGTATACAAATAGAAAAGGCTCATAAAAAACATTTATGGGATTAGCATACTGTGTGTGTGTGTGTGTATATATATATATATATATATATATATATATATATATATATATATATATATATTTTTTGCACCACTGGGCTATCTGAAATTAAAAAGACATTCTGCTGGTTGATAGGGTGGGTTGATGATTTGCGGGATTAGAGAAATGGTCACCTGGCAGAGAGAAGTCCTGTTGTTTTTGCTACTACATTCCAGTGCAAAAAAAAAAAGAAATTTTATTGTTCTTGTACTTTTATAGTCTTGAAATAGTGCCATGTAGTGGACATCGTGTCAGAAAAGGTGGAGGTTATATCCTTAAAGTCCTTTTGAAAGATGAAATGCAACACATAGGCTAGCTTGGCTATTTAAAATTGACAATTTTAACAATAAATATAATTAAATATTTTCATCTGTGGTAACCTAGGTTTGCAAGGCTGTAGCAAGTCAGAATTTTCCTTCTCCATTATCTATTGGAGATTAGATAGAAAATAACAGATTCTTGGACTGAACTAGAGAAGTTCTAAATTGTTTCAAATTAGTTCAAAGGAACCCCATTAAATCTGAAAATAAATCTCCTCTGTTCTTATATTTTTATTTTTTGAGTTTTATTGAAGGCCCCTCTAATCTTGGGGTTCCTGGTCTGTACCCCATATGTATATCGGGCATTGGACATGGTATATAGAAGAAGATATATAAGTTTATTTATATAAATTGTTTACTTATGATATTGGCCTGATGATGTTAAGAAAAAATACTTTTCCTTGCTTTATTGAATATACAAGATATAGGATATACTTGTGGAAAAATGTTTATTTCATATTTTGTTTCTCTTTTATATTTTTTTTATATTTTTATTCTTTAAGTTTTCAAATACTTAATAAAAGTAAACTCACTTTTGATTATACAGTAATAAAGACAAAGATATTAATACAATTCATTTTGCCTTTTAAAAAATGAAATATTTAATATCTAAATATCCATTTTTTAGAATTGATCACATTTTCATATTTGGAAATTTTTACTGAAAATCATTTTTTTCTTTCATTTAAAATGAAATAACCATTTATCTTTTATCATAAAAATATTCTTTCCTGAATAGTTTTAAAGCTTTTGGCTACATTTGAAATTTTATTCTTTAACTTGCTTCCTGGTCACAATTGACTAATTAAAGTGATAATGATAATGAAAATATAGGTCTATAAAATAATTGCAAGAGAATCATTATTTCTTGATAAATTTTCAATGTACTTTTCTTTGCTTATTTTCCTGAAAGCCTTCAACTTTTCGTCTGTTTACACTTTCTCTTTAATCTATCTTTCTTTTTTTTTTCTTTTTTAATTTACTGTTTTCTCACAAATGGTAGTAAGGATGCTGTTCTGAATTTAAAAAAAATTTTTAAAGATATATTCCAGACCTGTTATTAACAGTTCTCATTTCCTATTTACACATTTTGTTTACTGTCGTCAAAGATCATTATTAGAAAAAGTAATTTATATTTGTAAGAGAGAGTTACTCGGAAGGAAAAATAGCTGTTGTGGAGGCTAAAAAAATAAAGAAAATATTTAATTCAATTTAATTGCGATCATTTCTATTCCAATCTTTGCAGTTCTTAGGTGCTTTCATACTTTAGAGGAACTCTCGTCATTGTTTCTTATTCCGCGGCTTGCGCACGCTCTGGGTATCACATGACCAAATGTAACCAATCGGAGTTCTCTCTTTAGAGTGGCCACCGCCGAGCGCGTTTTTTCAGCGAGACTTGAAAAGTTTCTAGTGAAACGTCAAGATGGACGTGAGTCTTTAATGGCATGTATGGCGGTTGGCACGGCGCTCTTCGTACCTCGAGAATACAGCTGCTGATCGAAAAACTTGGGTACAAGGAGCAGCCTCATGACATTCCGCCTAATCGAAACGCTTATATCGAAAAGAAGACTGAAAAAAGGGGAGAAAAAGTTAATCGCACCGTGTACTGCGTTTCGTCGCCATTTTGTGTTAATTTTTTTTAATACACCTAAAAAAACCTCCGGATTTTTTTAAATTTATCCCCTTTTCTTTCCTTTTTGTCTGACACCCTTTTCCACTTCGAATACAGTCATATTTAGGCTCGATGACACTGTTCATACTATCTGGGTATCAATAACGCACCTCCCAGTGGCAACCCATTTTGAGTGCCTCCTGCTTTTTACACATTCACGTTTTTATTTCAGCGTTCTATTTTATTTTTACATTCTGCTGTCTTGGTCCTCAGTAAGACATCAAGACAATGGAAAACACAACGTTGATCAATGTTTGGAGAGATGATGGTAAATATAGCTACTCCTCTATATTTTTTGTTAAGATTCCCGGCTGTGTTAAAACAAAGCCTTAACACTGAAAACGGGATGGTCACAAAGTGAGGGATTAGTAAATTTCATTTATTATTTTATATTTAATAACAGAAATTACTACTTTCTCTCTTATTATACTTTTAAATAGCTTTATCTAAGCCAATTCCAGTTCTGTTAATTGGGATTATAGTTAGCACTTAGACTAAAAGTTAAAGCATTGTAAAAGTAAACGTAATTACTTTTAGTTCCCACGTTCATCGGACCCCCAAATCTCATTTTTCTTGTAAAATCTCTTAAAATTTGATCAACATTTAAAAGAAAAAAAAAATGAGAGACTTTCTTTAGTAGTTAGTTGCTGACTTGGTACACGTATTTTTCTCCATAGCTGTCCTCAAAACTTTTATTGGTTACGACTAAGAGTTGCTCTTCTATTGTTTCTTCTTTGTGCCTGTTAAGGTTGGGAAAGAAGAGAAAAATTGTTGAATTTTTAAAAAAAAACTTGGTCTTTGATTGATGCTAAATATTTATTAAAAAATGTGAAAGTAAATATACTGGATTATAAGAATTTCACCTTTCTCTTGTTAGATTTTGATTCATACAGTAGAGAAGATAAAAGCGATTATTTAAGATTTCATTTGAAATATGTCTATTTAATTTAGTAGGTTTATATTTCTTTCAGCTGCTGTTTTTCCGAACCCTTAAACTTATTTAATCTGTTTTAGGTCAAGGAAGCCCCCTGACAACATCTCGGGGACAGAATGGAACGGAGCTCAAAGAAGAAATTAGGCAATATTACAGAGAATTTGGCTTGGATTCAATGGCTAAGGAGGTATTTTTCAATGTAGTTTAGTTTTTAAAATATTTGGTAGAAATCCTTCACAGATAAACAAATGGGCTAGACAAAAAAAAAAAAAAAAAAATCACTTTTATTTTCTATAGTCCGAGTTTTGTTCAACCGGATGTTAAGACTTTCGGACGTTGGTGTGTTAAGAGAAAATGTGAGCATTTAAATTTTTATGTAAAAAAAACAAACAAAATACAAAATAATTAAAGTGATTTATTTAATGATTATAAAAATTGGTGCTTTTAGGGATATTGTGTAACGATGAAGTTGATATTTCAGGTTTGAAAATGAAACTGACCTAAAGTTATTTTCTTTGTTACTTGCAGTCGAAAAACCAGTGGAAATCTCTTGCTATTAAAAAAGAAATAATAAAAATAAAGTTGAAATATATAATAGAGAACTGGTTTAAAATATTTGATAACAATCATAAGTGCATTGGAAATTACAATTGCAAATAGTTTCTTCATGATTTTTTTTTTGTAAGTACCCCCTCCCCTTAAAAAAAAATCCTGTATGCCTGAAATATAGGTTAGCTTCATGAATTTATATTCACCTTAAGTTTTATTTTGGTCCAAATTTTCTATTTGTGATTTCTTTTCATTATTATGTGAAAATATCATTTTTGAACCACTTTATAATTTTGAATCGTTTTCTTAACGATCTTTGGTTCTGCCTTGAATTTTTTCACACAATTTTAGGAAATCAACTAAGCAGTATTTTGGGTCTATTTTTTTTTTTTTTTTTTTTTTTTACTTGATTCTTTGTACAATCAGTTTAACGGGGGTTTTGTTTACACAAATAGTAATTTCTCTATTAAATTTAAAATTTATTTTTCTTTGAGGTGGTCTGGGTGGTGCAGGTGAATTTTCTCTTGTCCATTTTTTTTTTTTTTTTTTTTTGAGGTTGGTGTAATTATATCTCTTACAAATAGTCTAATCTTACCGAAAACAAAACAAAAAAACTTCATTAAGGGTTAAGTTTACTTTAGTTTAAGTTTGTTGGTGTACGTCCCCGATCCCGCCATCAAATTGCTTTTCTTTTTTTCCTCCTCAATTAGGATGATGAATAGATTCACACAATAAGTGTCTTGGATTTTATTTAGTTATTAGTCTTTATGGGTGTTCAGTAGTTTGGTATTTTCTTTTTATATTGGTTGACGACTACTACATTCTTTGGTCATGCTTTTTTTTTTTTTTTTTAATTTTCCAGTCAGGGGTACTTGATGCCAATGGTGACTTAACTGGTTTTAAAGACCAAACTATTCAAAAAGCTGGTAAGTTTCCTTCAAGTCCTAAGGGCCTAATAAAGTTTTTTTTTAAGTTTTATCAATAGTAAAAGAAAACTCTTAAAAATAGCCTCTCTGCTCTTCACAAGTAACTAAAACTGGCTATTTTCATTGTGAAGGAATATATAAAAACTGAAGTTTGAGATTGTCAAATTTTAACAGATCTTTGAGAAGTGAATGAAAATCAGCTTTAATGTCTATTTAGTATTGTAGAAAATGCACCTAAAAATTCACATGATTGAAACTTTGACCATTGAAAATTAACTAATATGATCAATGATTCTGTCTTGGAATTTATTTATAAATTACCTTATCAAAATGTTTACAAAGGGTTTAACATTATTACATGTGAATCAAAATTCTATATAGCCTTTGAGAATATAAATTGTACCTACATTTGATTCCACTTTTCTTTTTCTCAAAAATGAAAATTTATCCAGAAATGAAGGTCTGTAAGTCATGGCAGAATAAAGTACATTGGAAAAATACTGGTTTGTATAATTTTGCAGAAAATTGACTTAGAAAAAAATCTGATTCTATATTTTTCATCTGATCCTCTCAAAATGAATATTTAAGCAATAAAAGGTTTCATGTTTATTTCAACATTGTAAAATTTTATCAAGTCAAAAAAAATCTTGATCAATGAATAAAAATGTTAAAAAAAACTTATCCAAATGTAGATATTTTATACATGAGTGGTACTTGGGATATATATTTGACATAAGACCATATTAAAATTTTGGCTTCAATTTCATATTTACATAGAGATTAAGAATAAAAACTTATTTAAAGGTCTATTTGAAATTAAGCTTTTTATATTGAACCAATTTATCAACATTTTTTTTTTGTTCACTTGTTGCAATATGGGCTGGATATTTGACAAATTTTGTATGCTTGAATTTGTTCAGTAAGCTGTAGTCTATAACTAAAAGCTTTATCTTAATCTATAGTTCAAAGTACTTGTTCAGTTTTTTTTTTTTACAGGAGGGGCATTGCAAAATTAAAGTTACCATTTCTCTGATAAAGCTTAATCATTTGAATTCTATTTAATATAAAATAATGTTCAGATTAATAAAGCAAGTTTGGAATCTAGACAATGCAAAATAAGCTTGATAAGTTTTTATTAAAAGGAATGGTTCCCAAGCATTTCTAGACATTAGTCATCTGTTGAGAAAACTACTAAATTCTAATGAACCTAGAAATTTTGATTACAGAAGCTAATTTTTAAAAATTGATGTGAGAAATTGTCCTTTTTGTAATGCAACAGAAATACATGGCTAAAAAAAAAAAAAAGTAAACATTGAAAATCTACCAAAATGATCAAGTGAGGATCAGGCATTGTAAATGTAAAAAAAAAAAAAAAATCAGAAATGTAAAAGCTTCAAATGAATTTGTTATACTTGGTCATTCCTATTCTCATACAAATTTGTGTACTTTAGATGTGTCAAAGCCAATAAAGAGTTGTTTTTAAGATGCTATGTTGAAGGAAACTTATTTTGAGGATAAATATGGTTGGAAAAAATAGAAAAAAAAAATTTAAATCTTCACTGCATGAAGAGTAACACTGAACATGAATAAAATGATATTCAGTGGTGACTTTTTTTTTTTTTCAAAGTGAAAACTTGTTTGACATTCATTTTGAGGTGAAAAATTCAACCATCTAAAAAAAATTTGGAGAGTGATTGTGTAAGATTGAGCAGTTTCATAAAATTCTATATAAAGCTCTTTATACAAGAATAATTGGAGTTAAAATCAACTAATTTGATAAAATATTTAACAAATTAAGGATTATGTTTGAAAAATTTCCACCTATGACACAAATTGTGCACTTGAACACTTTAAGAAAAAAACTGAAATGTGGCTCTTGGAACAAAACTGAATTCAAAATTGGAATTAGTAACTAACACACACACACACGCTACTTGATGGTAAAAGTTGTATATAACATTTACAAAGGCAACTACTAAAAGGATCTAATGAAAAATTACAATTTTGTAAGGTGTGGGAAGAAAGATGTTTTGACCTGCTTTTATGGGGTTGGGGATAAGCTTACTCAATCAAAAATGAAGATTGTCTTCACTGATACTTTAATTCTTTGAATGACTTTGATATTATCATTTGTAGTTTAATATCTTGATAATAATCTATTGCTATTTACTGATATTTCACCCCTGAAATCATTCTTGTAACCATTGAATATTGGTTACTCTTTTTTAAAAAAGCATGTAACAATAGGGAATCGGTTGATGAACAATATTTGGGATGGTTATAAATTTTCTTTTCTAGAGAGAACTTTTTTTTCCCTCATCTACTTTCAAAATAGGAAAAGACCAATAATTTTGTAAATGTCTTACTTTTATCAGATACTTTTGCTCCTGATTTTTATATCAATATTATTTGCAGACAATTTTGAAAAATCTGAAAATTCAAAGTTGGAAAAAATTATCAATTAGAGAAAGTACCTTTTAATAAAGCATATCAATTTTTTAAAAATTTTCATCAAAAATTACCCATTTAATTTGCAAAATAATTATTTTCTGTTGAGAATTTAAAGGCTACATAGTTCAAATGTATTTGATACTAAAATATGGCTGATTTTCATTCTCTTCTAACTCCAGAATTTGCTACATCACTATATGTAATCAATAGAGAATTGACATTTCTTTACATAAACTGCTTGTGAATATTACAAGATTGCTGGTCAAAAGTTTCATTATTTTGGTGATTGGCTCTCATAATTAGCATTTTTTTTTTTTTTTTTTTTTTTAAGAATTGCTGTTCCTTGTCTATTTGATGTTTCAATTTGTTTTTAGTACATTGCATTATGAATTAGTGCTAGAACTGATAACTATTGTGTATTTCTCATTCTGATTGCAAGAATCTGGAACTCAATTTAAATATATGTACAAATAGCTAACAATTTTAACCTACTATCAGCAGTACTTTCTTTTTGTTGTAATTGAACCATGAAACTGCAATGATAAATTCCTGTTATCTGTAGTTAATGGATTGATGTCCAAAAATAACTCTTATAGCAGAAGAAAAATGCCTAGGTATCTCATTTAGAATGTAATTTTCATAATTGTATATTTGAAGGATTTAAATTAATGAGAGTATATTTCCTTTAGTAAATTATGAAAATTCCACCTCTTAAGAGTTTTATATTAATCTATATGTATGTTGATTTTTCTGAGATTGCATGCTTGGTAAAATTTGTAATATTCTTGTGCCTGAAATAAGTTTTGTGATCTCTTGATGAATCTCTGGATAGGAATACTCTCAGATGTACAATTTGCTTATTATCTTAGTCTGAAAAGTACCTACTATGGAAGTTATAATTATGTTGGTGTCAGGTGGGTATTCAATTTATTTTTATTTTTCTTTAAAAAGTGAAAATCAGACAAAATGCATTTGTTTTTATTTTTATTTCTTAATAGCTCATTTAGTAGCAGTTCCACTGTATGGATCACCTGCAAAGACAGAACAGAATGCACTTTTCACAAATGCAGCTATGCCTTCACAAGTAAGAATTTGTATATTCTCATTGCAACAGAATCTGGTGTGTTAAAGTGTTATGGTTAACATTGCTAAATTAGCACTATATTATCTAAATAGAATTTTGTTCCTCCTTTATAACAGTGTTTTGATAGAAGATAAAAATTTTTGTATTGCACAGATATTACTATCATACTTTAAGCTTTCTTAAATTTTGACTATACTTACATTTTACAAGTCAATTTGTATAGACAAAAACTTTGTTTTTTGGACAACTGTTGTCAAATGTATATGGAAAATAGAATTAATTTTTCAATGTAAATGATTCTTAGTAATTTTTTCTTAGTATATGCTACTGTAGATTTTATAAATTTTTAGTCCTTTTTCTCTCAACCAGTATGTTCCTGATGGTTTGCATAATTTATATTAGCCTTGTCCCAGGTAACGCTAAAAAAAGTGGTATACCCTGGAGAAAAATGGTCCCCAAATTGATAAAAAAAATTTTTAACATGTAAATGTTTGTTAAAATTAAACAGGGAAGACCAAAGTATTTTTTTCAGATTTTTTTAGTCCTTCCTATAAATTTTAAAAATTTTATTTAAAAAATCTCGTTTTTCTTGAATAAAAAAAAAAACTAGTAAATTCAATTTATCGGCCATTTCTGGCCGAATTTGTAAACAAAAAATCAAAATTAGTTCAAAAATCAATTAAAATTCAGTTACACCTTTTTTTTTTTTTTTGTTAGGAAATTTAGAATGATTAAAGTATACTTAATGTAATTTGAAAGAAACATTACTTACTTTTTTAGCAGAAAATTTTTTAATAGAGATATTTCCAACTGGTACTTTCACAAGTGCGTGATTGAAGGGTGTTAATTGATGGGTATCAATATATTGACAACTTACGTCAAGAAATTTATCGTCGGTAGCATAGAAGTGATGTAATTAATTCTAATTTTAAGAACCTGGTTAGTAAATTTAAAAAAAATAACTTTCAATTTTTTTTTTTTTAACCTACGTTTGAAGAAAAAATTCTGCACTGAAAATAACATTTAAATTGTGAAAAAAAAATCAAATTTTACAAGTAAAAATGAAACAGTAACAGCATTTTTTTAAAATTGTTATACATATTTTATTTATTAATAAAATTAATATTGAAATGCTATGCAATTGATTTCAAATTTTGCTTTGTTGTTAACTGAATGAATGCAAAGTAATTTCTGAAGTAAAAAAAAACTTCTATCTAGGGAAACAACTCTACCTCACGTGACGTTATTTCAAAGCTGTGCATCCATACTTTTGTTGGAGACGATTTTAAATACAATTTTGGAATATTAAAAAATTATTTTAAATGTATTAACGGTTGTCAGATTTTAATAAGCTTTCAAATTTATGATCTATAAGAAGTAGAGAACATATGTCATTTCCATAAGAAACTTAATTTTAAAATATATAACAATTTGTCATATTGTGTATTTAAAATAGAAAAAAAAGAAAAAATTATTGTAAAAATTCATTTTTCATCAAAAATTTTTTTTTTTTTTTCTGATAAGAATTACCTTAGTATATGTTCAGAAAAGTCAAAGTTCTTTAAATTAAATATTGTCTCAGTTTTATTGGGTTTTGTATTTCTACAATTGAGGTAAAAGTTTGGACAATTTTGCACATTTTTTTACCCAAAAAATCGATGATTTAGAATCTTCAGAGTCTTGTGCATTTAATTGAAAAAACAAATTCAGGCTTTGAAAATAAATTTTTGAAGTTTTCATAAAATTAAGTTCAAGGGGTGTAACGGATATAAAAAAAATATATTTATACCATGACTTTCAAAAAGACAAACATTTCTAAAATAATTTCATTCATTTGTGAATAAGTTCTGAAAGTTTCATTAAAATCCAACAAGTACTTGATTTTTTAAAAGATTTTCCAAATCAATGTTTTTTTTTTTTCAACTTAAAACAGCGAAAAACAAGTAATGTTAATATTACCTAATTTTTGACCTAAAAAAAAAACAAGATTTTCAACCTCAATTTAAAAAATGCTGCAAATGAAAAAAAATTTTTTAAAAATAATTAAAAAATACCTTGGTCTTCCCTCTTTAATTTTAACATAAACATTTACACGTTACAATTATTTTTATCAATTTGGGGACCTTTTTTTCTCCAGGGTATACCACTTTTTTAGCGTTACCTGGGACAACCCTAATTTATATAATCAAATACCTGAACTGTATATGGTGTTAGTTGACATTTTAGCCAGAATTGTTCAAAATGTGAGAACATGCATACTAGTAGATCCTTTCATATTTTTTTTTTCTTTTAAAGTGGATAGGGGAATACAATGAAAACCTATTTCAAACTACCATCAAAAACAAACAAAACTTGCAACCTTTCAACTGTCAGGTTGACCCAATCATATCTATGGATACAATGTATGACCATATGGTTGTGTGCACATGGAATTGATCCATTTGAAAATGGTACTTTTTTTTTTTTTACCTAACAAAATTAAACTGCATGATATACTAATTTGTTCAACTTTTATACACATAAAAGAAGGCTCTTGAATGGATTTTTTTGCAGATTCATAATATTAAAAATCACACTGCACAAAATGCAAAATTCAATGCATATTAGTGCTGCATTGAGATACTTGCAAGGAGATGTGCTTGCTTTTTATAGTTGCATTTGGAAGTATTAGCTTCATGATCAGGAGCTGTCAGGTCTTCCCTCATACTCATATTCTTTGGTCTGTACACTTCGTTGGATGATATGAAAATTCGTTGTGACTGTTATAACATGATTTTCATCAACTCAAAGGGAACTTAACCAGTTTTTTGAAATTGGTGTAGTGCTTTTGGCTTTAATGCAGTTTCCTCATGCCTTTTTCTATTTTGGTGAGGTTTTTAGACTGTTAGACGTATCAATCCCACACCATATCAAGGTGCTTTTGTACTTTCAAAGATTCTGATCTGGTAAGGTATGAAGATGGCTTCTAAATAGCCACCAAATGTTGTATAAGATTTGGCTTAAAGCCATCAAAAGTTTTCATCTATTGTCGTTTCATAATCCAAAGTTGAAATCCTCTTATCAAGGTATCCAATGAAATCTGATGAGGCATTACTTCAGCTCTGTTTGAAAGTGTTGGTAGTGTTTCTCTTTGTGTCTTTAAAAAAAAAACAACAAAAAACTCATCCCTTTCTGAATTTATATGAAATGTACAGTCTGTTAAGTACTTCACTTGTTCTTCAATGTCTTAGTTTGATATAACCTCTGGGATCATTTTGTAGTTTGTCTTGTAGAAAATAGTTATTGCTTATACCTAACTACCTTAGATAAAATATAACACTGGAGTCGTATATTTTCCAAACTGATCAGTAATATAAGACTTGTGATTGTCCTTATTATTTTAATCTTCTTGAGACATGAAGCTGCATTTTCATCCATGACCTTCATATTCAGGCTGCTCTTTTATTTGAATGGGTTTCCTAATTAAATATTGCAACCATTGCTTAGACATGTGGAAACTTTGGATAGTGACTGATCATGCTGTGTGTGTGTGTGTGGCATTTGAGAACAAATTAATCAATTACCTAAACAATTTCTGAACCAGCTGTAACCTGCTTAAAGCAGATGGATTATCTGTTATTCCAATTACACTGCCGTTTATTTTAATTTCATTTATAAGTTTGATCTGTGGCTGAGAACATGAGCAGTATTTTTGTACTGCAAACATATCCTCAGATTCATGAAACTGATGGTACTTGTTACAGTAGCACAATATCTTTGATGTGAATGAGTAGCGATCAAACAAGGTTCAAAATCTGTTTCTTTAAGAGAATTGAATTCCAAGAAGTTTAAAAACTAAAGACCAGTAATAGAACTAGAGATATTTCTGTGCTGACATTGTTTTAGGATTTAAGCTTGATGTTTCAGCATTTGCAGAAAGATCTTTTTGTAGTTTTGGTGCACAGGTATCTGAATGTATAGAGTTGCTGGTCTAACCCTATACATATCAGGATCTTGTGACATGAAGTTCTTTCAAGACTTTTGTGACTTCTGACTGGATAATCATTGTTGTCCATTCACTCAGTCACCAACATTCATTTAAATTTCAAGGTTTCTCATTGGCATAGCAAATAACTCCTCACTAAATGTCTGGCCACATCTATTGGAATTGCTTAGTGATACATAACAATGTCTGTGGTTATTACAGGGGTCTGTCTTTGTAAATAATCAGTGGGCTTAGCAACAAGTTTCATTGCATCTATTACTATTGCTGCAGTGTGTGTTATGTTGGCACTGCAATCAAATGCATAATAGCAACATGTCTTGATTTCAATTGACTGTTGGCATAGTAGGCTGCCCATGACATACACCCAACTGTCTCTCTGGATATGAGCATGACTTGATTCTACTTGTTTTTGACCTGACTGAAGCATGTGCTACCATTTCTAGCCAAGACAGATGCTGGGGCAATTTTTTTATATTTATAGGGAAGCAAATCCTCACTTTGATTAGCTGTACCTGTTTTAATGAGTACTGGATTCTTCTGTTCTAGGCTTTTTTGCATTTTAAATTAAAGAATAGCTATATCTGTTCCATAAAATGAGTTCATAATGTTTTTAGCAGTGTTCATATCCAAGTTTGAATGACCCATTGGAAGTGTACTTGGCAAATTTATCCTTTATCAATATCTGTGCAGCGCATATTCCATGTTGACACCACCATCATAATTGTTGGAACAAGTAATATCTATAGCTTCCATGATGGAATTAAAAAGAAGAAAATCACTTATCAGTTCTATTAATTTTTTATATGCTCTAGTAGTTAACATATTCCAATGTTTTAAAAGCTATTTTGAAATCATGATGGTGGTTAGTGCTAATTGATTATTTGTCTTTTTTTTTTTTTTTTTTTTTTTTTTTTGAGAGCTGTACAAAAAAAAATCTACTAGTATGCACGTTTTCACTTTTTCATTTTCTGAATGATTTTAGCTTCTGTATTAGAAAGTAAATATTTAAATTTTCTCTAAAATCATATGAAAAATCTCTTCATAGGTCGTTTCGTTGCCTAATCAGAGGCCTTCCATTGCTGTAGAAACCCAATGGAATTCAAGAAAAAGGAACTCTGAAATAACCATTGAACATGATTTTACAGATGGGTAACTTCTCATTTTTATTTCTGAAATTCATTTTCATTCTTTTAAAACTTTATATAGTTTTATATTACCACATTCCTTATGAATAGCCAAATTTGTATTTCTCTTAGCCTATCCATCAGTTGTTTATTTTTGTCTAATTTGAGATTCTCTGTACTTTGATATTTATAGAAGATGCCCTAAGTATATGGAAGAAATGTCTTTGTGATTGGTTATGATCTTAAATAGATAGCCTTTAATGTATTGTTGAAGAGCACACATTTTTAAGAATAACTTACATGGCACAAAGTATTTCAAAAGAAGAGGCAAATTTAATTTTGCAATTTTTTTTTTTTTTTTTTTTTTTTTCCTCCTTATTGCTAAATATTTAAGGGTTTTCTTGGGAAATTTCTAATCTTTGGAGAATTCATTGTTTTGATAAAAAAAAAACAAACATTCCTGATTTTCAAGACCTGTCATTCAGTTCTTATCAAAATTTAGTATTTTAATGCTGGGAGATTATATTTTATGTTAGTAACATCATAAAAGTTTATATGCGATGTCTTACAAATAATTTAGTTTTAGGGATCTGAAATGCTCTTCATTAGTGGCTTTTTTTTTTTTACCTCCAAGGAAATTATCTTGAGACAGGTGGAATGCAGATTTTATTAGATAATGCTTAAATGCAGGAACAAATAAAGCTGAAAATATGGAGAATGTTTGGTTTAACTGCTTATGAAATTGAGGTGGAAGAGCTGTTTAGGATTAGCTGAGAGATAACCAAAAATTAATGAAAAGACTGCTCCATTACTCCATTACCCCAATAAAATATTGATGTGAGTAGCCATAATAATTATGAAGAATTTCTCTAATTTTGGCTTGATGAATAAAAAGCTAACTAAATGGTTAACTGAAGACTGAAATTTGTTTATTCAGGGCAATTAGTATATACACACACACACATTTTTCCGTATGTGAGAAAAGTATGCACTTTGCAAAACAGTATATCATCAGCTGTAAAACTAGTATGAAAGCAACAAAAAAATCTTTTAAATGGTAAAAATGATATCAAAGTACTTTTCTTTGTACTACTAGCATAATTACTGTTAATATGTTTATGGACATAAAAACAGGTTGAGGAACAAAGCGATTACATTAAAAATACAGACTGACATGTTAATATCCTGTATTGTAGAAATGACAACTGATATCATTGGATTTCATTTATTTTCTCTACATTCATAGCTCATCAAAATAGGAAAATATATGCTCATAAAATTTGCTGTATTTAAAATAAGTTCTATTTTGATTATGTGCACACATGCAAACTAAGTATTACAGTTGGTAAGATATTATTTTATAACTACTGAAAACATTTAAAATTTTAATTTTATTATAATCTAGCTTTTTTAAATGCCTTTCATTTTCAGTGTTTAAAATTAATACCTTTTTTTACCATCATACAAATGATTTGTAGTTATGTTTCTTGGTTTTTAATTTTGAAAATTAAAACTTGAAATATTCTTTTTCGATTGCTTCCTTTAAATAAATGCTCTAAACAATCAAAAAGTATGAAATATTGTTATAACTTCTGAACTACTAAAATATAGTCTTTTGTTAGCACCAAATCTCTCTGCTTTTTCAGTTTTGAAATTCTCTTAAAACCATTTCTATTTTTAGGTGTCATGATTAATTTCCAACCTTTTAAAATTTGTAGAAATAGAAAAAGATAATTCTTTGGATGCCATAAAAATGTACAAAATGAACATGATGCTAAAATGTTTGATAAGCCAGTCCTCTTTTGCCATTGATGGTGTATATAAATTTCTTTTTAGACTTAAATTTCCTTGAAAGTTACATTTTGATCTTAGTATATTTTTGCTATTAACTTTTTTTTTTTTATTCATTCTTTAGATATAGAAAGTTTTGAAGACTTTTTTCTCCCTAATTCATTGATAATTTGCTGTTATTTCATTTGAAGATCAGATTGTATTTAAAGGTTTAAAATATTTTTGACACTGGGTCATCCTTAGACAAAAACAAATGAATATGAATCATATTGTTGTAATTCATGTGGGACTAAAATCTCTATGTACAAATCCAAATGCATCACATTTTTAAGGACTTCACATGAAACATTCTTTTATTATAGTGAATATTTTTTACTTTTTTAGCAAAAGAAACAAGAAAGGAGAGAAAGGTGGGAAAGGTTTACGTCATTTCTCCATGAAAGTGTGTGAAAAAGTTCAGAAAAAAGGTGTCACATCCTATAATGAAGTAGCTGATGAATTGGTTGCAGAATTCAGTGATCCTAGAAACTTGTCACCCTCAGAGCAGGTAGTTGCTATCATTTCTTGACTTATTTTGCATTCATTTGTCACAAGGAATTAGGGATTTATCTTTTTACTTACTGATTTAAAACTTATTTGCAGATAGCATTTAACTAAGACATTTGCATTATGATTCTTTTTTGGTGTTAAAAAAAAAATAGTTTATATCCTTACAAATAAAACTCTTTGCAAATTCTAATTTAAAACTATATGTGAAATGTTGTGCATTTTTCTGCAGTAATAAAGGGAAATATACAAAATATGATGCTTTTGGTGTAAAGTATCTTTCCTGCTGGGAGCTTTCGACAAAATTGACGAAAAATAATCAGATTACTACTAACTTTTAATACCATTCATTAATAGCTCCTGTTCAGTGGGCTACTTCAAAGTGCGATTGTTAATGCTCCATTTCCGTGTTCTTGTAGTTTTGGTTAAATGGTAGCAATAATATAAAGAGTCACTTGGAAATGCTTTACTTTAATATGTAGCAAGATTAGGAACCTCCATGAGATTGCTAAAAAAAAAGAGCATAGCATGATGAAAAGGACACCAAAAATTGTTTTTTATATTAGTCATGGCAGAAATATTTTTTCTATTACCCCCACTAATTTTATGAAAATACTAGAAATTTGATCGCATCAAGTTTAGTGATTACAATAGTTAAGAGCACAAGGCTTTGAGGAATGCAAAACTTTTTTTTTTGTTTTTAATTAGGTTCCCCCCTACCTGAAAATCAGCTCTGAATTGTAACATACAAATAAAACAAAGATATTTAATTTCAATTGCTTTTATGAATATGGACAATATTTTCTGAAAGCAAAACAATTTTTTGAAGAAAAATAAATTTTTAATATAATTATTTATTTCTTAATTATAATAGATTTTTACATTTAAGTTGTTAAAATATTATAAAATTAGTTAAAAGCCGCATTGGGCTTCCTAAGTGTCCTTATGAGATTTTTTTTTTTTTTTTTTAGTGTGTTGTAAATTGTATCATTTTGATACAGAAGATCCGCAGTAATTAAGAAATGTAATTTTGTGTTTATAATCGGGCTGTAATTATAAAGTATAGAAGACCAACCAGGATACAATTGCGTTATTTAAGTATTGTTCTCTGTTGTTGAGGCCTTTACTTTTGCGAAACACGTGTGGAGAAGTTAATTTGATTTTTCAATTTCAACTGAGAAGGGTACCTACAAGTATCAGTATCATATGAAATTTATATGATCTTATTTTTATATTAATCTCAGTTGTTTCATTTTTCCATAAATGAAATATCAAAATTAATAAAATAATGGAAATACAAATAACACAGTCAAATGTAATAAATGTACATAAAATTATACATAGTTTATGTACACTTCTGATAAAATTTCATAAGAAAGGTACCTATAAATTAATTAGATACATTTCTTATGAAATTTAATCTCACTCTTAACTCTTATTTTAATTTCTTTATAATATATTTTCCATAAAGCATCGTAAACGTAAAGGTGAAAACTAAGTACAAAAAAAAAATTAGAGCGCTGAAAGTTTTCCTTAAAAATAACAAGGTAAATAATTTGTCCACTTAAATGTAAATTATTTCACTTTTTCCTTCCATAGAACAAATTATCCTCATGGAATCCATCAACATGTCATTCATCTTCTGTCAAGTGACGCGAAAGTTTATAACCTGCTTTGTTTTATTTTCAAATTACATCTTTTCGGTGCAGAAGCTAAGTTAAGCTTGGTTCAAAATATTTTAAATAAACATTATAATTTGTGATTTTCTTAAAATAAGTTTTGAAAAAATAATTGATATTTAAAAGAATTTCAAAGTGAGATCTCCAGTTTTTTAATAAAATGGTAAAAAAAGTGGTCAATTTTGCTGACTCAAAAAAAAAAAAAGATTTTTAACAAAAATTTTGGATGTGCTTGGAACAATTAAAAAATGTAAAAAAAAAAAAAAAATACCCCAAAAATACTTTGATCTTTCCTCTTAATAATAACATAAACATTTCATGTCAAGTTTGGCATCTTTGTCATGCTCTGCTCTTTTTTTTTTTTTTTTTTTTTTTTAGCGATCTTGTGGAGGTACCTAAGTAACATTTAAAGTCCTAATATTCATGTAATGAGACCTTTATTTTCTAATTAGGGCTTATAAAATCAGTACAATTAATGCAGTTTTTACCTCTTTATTTGATTTAATAAATTCAGTTGATCATATTTTGCTTTAAATTCTATAATTGATCATAAAAATAACATTTGTCTTGATGACCTTAAGTGTGAGAAGTTGATTTTCATTGTTATAAAACATTTCCCTATTTAGATTTTTATAAAATAATTTGTAACCCTTATAAATAGGATATTAATTCAATGAACATTTTACAAGTATATTAATTTTATAAGAGTAATGATTTTAATTTTTTAATGTAAAAATGCTGTGTATAAAGTAGACTTGACAAATCCAATGATATGTTCCTCTTGAAATCTGTTATTCCAAGTTACAGACATGTGCACTTGAAAATGAGACCTAAAATGCTAAAGACTTATTGTAATAATGTTTGTGCCATTTTAAAGAGTGACTGGAAAAAAATTCGGAAATTTCAAAAAATTATCTAGTGCATAGAATTTTGAATACTACTTCATCTCTAAAAAAATAGCATAGAACATTTTGAAGTGAGCTTCACATTGATATTAATCATTTTAATATCTTCATTACTATTTAGGGAAAGGGTATTTTGTAAGGAGTAATTCTGAAACTTTTTAAAGCCAATTGTACTCTTATTTAATGTAGGAATTCTTTATAAAATATCAGGTGGGTGCTAATGATTCTTCTATAAAATAAGTTTAATTGGTGTGACTTAGCTTGTATGCATTAGAAAATAGGTTTCTATTTTTTTAATTTTTTCTTCATACTTGAATAGTAATGAGATTGTATTGGCAGTAGGGGTTGTGGGGTATATGATAATTTGACCTTTTAACCTGAAATATATTTAAAAAGATTAAAATTTTATATTTATTTTTTTTTTTTATTTTTCAAGTTTTTTATTAGTGTAAAAAACAAACTTAAGCTTAATGGAAATTTCAAAAGTAAATTTTTATGATTTTTTTTATTTTTAAATAACATTGAACTTAATTCTCCTTTTTGAAGAAAAAAAGTTTGTCATTTTGATATTGTGATGTTTTTGAAGAAAAGTTGATTTATTTGCTATACATCTCTTGAAATGCCAGCAAAGTTCTATAGATATTGAAAATGACATTACATGCATGCACACAAAAATTTCAAGGTAAGAATTATTTTATTTTCTAGGCCTATGATCAAAAGAATATTCGACGACGTGTTTATGATGCACTTAATGTTTTGATGGCAATGAACATTATTTCAAAAGAGAAAAAAGAAATTCGGTGGATTGGATTACCAACCAATTCAGCACAGGAATGTCAAAATCTTGAGGTAATGGTTTTTGTAATCTAGGATGTGCATATAATTTGGCCATGTTTTACATTATTTCTAACAAGGATTTTGGTTTGATTTAGTTAAATTTTCTGGTTCACGTCATTAACGTTGATGTTATACTGTTACAATTTAATAAAGCTATGTTTATGCTTAAATGGTTTTAACTAAAGTTTTATGTTGCTCATCTAGCATTAAAATTATTCCCTACTCATTGAATATGTATATCAGAGTAGTTGACTCTTCTGTTTTTTGCTGTTACAATCTGAAATATCTTTGTTACTTCTGGTGGGGAGAAAAAGTTAGATGTTAATAAAGAAACGTCAAATATATGCTATAATGCATTAGGTTAAAAATGGAAGGCAATTGGGTTTTGTGATTTAATAATAAATTAAGTGTGTTAGAAATAGGCTTAAAACAATGCTTGTCATGAAGATGGATATAATGTGCATGCATGCAGGTTGTTGAAGTGCTGGGCAATTCCTAAGTATATAGAACAATAACAGGTTAAGTAGTCCATATTTGGTGGGTGGCCATATGCATACACTTTTTATTTTTTTTAATAGAACAACTGAATTTGCATTTTAAATGTCTTATCACATTCAGAAGATCAGATTTTGAGAATTGGTGCAAACTGATTGGATAAAGTGCTTGGTGCCAAATTTTAGTTTACTTAGATTAATATCCGTTTCTAGAATTTGGTAAATGGCTCAACAAAACAAATCTTGCCATTTGGTGTCTGATCTTTGATCTTTGTGGCATGAATGTCCTCACACTCTAATCCAAATTTTGACTTGTCGTGATTTTATTATTTGCGTCATGTGTAATTTTTTTTTTTCTTTTTCTCCTCTCCCTCTCAATTTTGTGTAACATTTTTTAATTGACTATATTTATGATAAATATTTTTCTAATATTGAATTTGATTTCTTTTTAGGCTGAAAGAAGAAAAAAACAAGACCGAATCCGGCATAAAACTCAACAGTTGCAAGAACTCATTTTACAAGTAAAAACATACTTTTTGAAACTTAATGAAAATACTTCTGCACACACACACACACACACACATATATATACTTTTAAAGTATATAATCACATTTAGATATGAAGAAATATGCTCACTTTAAGCCACTCTCAACACACCTTTTTTTTTTTTTTTTTTTTTTTTAATATTATAAACCTATGTAATATGTTCCTGGTCATCGTTGTAAAACTTCTGTTTAAGTCGTATGGTAGTGGTTACAATCAGCAGCATAATCCTAAGATGCCATACAGATATATCGTAATCATGCTTCTGTAGTAGCTCTGCTTTCTAATGTATGAATGGCAACACACCTTTCTGCTTCTCACTGTTAGACAAAAATCTATCTCAAGTTTGACATTTTTACAAAGCAAATAGTCAATAATATAAAGCATATAGTCAGTAATAAAAGTATGCCTTACTAGTAGGTGCACTGAAATCAGATTCAACAGTAGGCTAAATATGTGTTGTTGAGTAAAGTTTTTTGTGTCTAAGGCAAACTTTGATGTACAGACAACTTTCATAAAAAAATACTTGTAGAATTCCTGATAAACTGTATTGTAATGTTTATTTTAGACAAATTACAGCAAAGTTACATGTAATAAATCGAGTGTGTAACTAAGAAAAAAAAATGTTCCTTCAATCTAATGAATATTTGCTGATGTCTCTATATGAAAGTGTGAAAATTATTTACAGTTAGATTTTTATTGTTCTGTGTAAAGGTTTTCAGACCAATTTTTTTTGTTTTCCAAAGAAAATATATTTAAATAGAAGAAATATGTAAACTATCTTGAATCACACATTTCAGTTTATCTTGTGAGAATAGTAGATGCATCTTTAGTCACATTTTTTTTTATTGTATTTGATTTTGTGTATTCAGTCTTTCAGTATTTAAGAATCATCCCATTTGATTCTATGTGACACAAAGCTTTTTTTTTTTTTAAGACACCCCATGTGTATGTGAGAAGAATTGAACAAAAATTGCCCAGTTCTTTTAGCTTGTCACAGACACCAAGAAAAAGCCTTGACCCACAAAATACAATGGGGAGATATAGCTTTGAAAAGGGATGCCTTGAAATTTATTAATTCTTAGTCCTGATTATCCATAATGTTTACCTGTTGAGAAATGTGAGCATTATGCTTACAATGGACTGATTCTGTGGCAATGTGAAGATGATTTAAATTACTGTTGACATTTTTCACAGGACTGGTAAATGGTGATGGAAGTGAAAGCAATCATTTTGAAGTATGTATTTAGCAACTGAATTTTTTTCTTTTTCAGCAAATTGCTTTCAAAAATTTAGTTGAACGGAATAGGCGCCTTGAACAGACGCAGGGTCGACCACCACAGCATACTTCAATTCAACTTCCATTCATTATTGTAAATACTAGCAAGAAAACTGTGATTGACTGCAGCATTTCTAATGATAAGTAAGTATATTCTTGTTTTTCAATCTTCTGTTAAAGTTTTTTTTTTTTTTTCCTACAATAATTCCATTTTTGGATACTAGTCGAGATTAGTTATAAAAGTGCACTTTTTTCCACTGAGGTTTTTTTTTTTTTTTTTTGTAAGCAAAGTAAATATTACTTGCGTAATTTAATTAAGCAATAATTTTTGTATACTTGTTCTTTTTGCACATTAAAATTAATTGGTTAGATGGATAAATTTCAAATAGTTAAAAAAAAAAAAAAAACTATTCTAACCAAGAAAAGAAAATAGGCATATCTTTACAGTGGCCATTAATAAAATATTTGTTCTAATGAATAATTGTTAATCCTTCCCAGATAGATTAGCTATATCTGGCCAACCAAACATGCATTTATTTAAAACTGATACCAATTAATGTTATTTTTCTGATTTCCTTTCCAATTCTTCGATGTTTGGATTTTGATGCCATTCTTAGCTCTGATGATGCATTTGAAGTGTGGAGGGGAACATGAATTTAGTTCCAATGTTGACTTAGATTTAAATACTATTAGCAATAGACATAAGAGGCAAAAAATTACAGTAATAATTTGAATATATTTTTTATCTTTGGCAATTTTAACACCCAAAACCAGTTATGAGATAAAAAATGCTTTTACCATATAGCCAGAGCATAATTCTGGTAGAATATTTATGGTATGGGGTGGGTAATTAGTGTAGATAGCTCAGAAATTGAATTTTAATTTGACTTAACTATAAAACTGGTAAAATCTAGAAATATTCAGTGTGGAAATGGTTAAACTTAATATAATTCACCAGTCATTTTTTAGTCTCACTTAACATCTTGCTAGTAAAATATTTTAATTCAACAGTTTAAATTTTTTTTTTTTTTTTTTTTTTTTTTTTTTTTAAAGGCTATCTTCTGTTTTGCTTTTCTCCAAAAAATGTCTTAAAAGTTCCTCAACCTGTACAAAAAAAACAAAAAACAGTTGATGCATATCATTTTTAATGTAATTGAATGCACTCTTAAGCATTGGAATCGGATTTTAGGACCAGATTCTATACTTTTGTGTATGAATATGATATATAATGTGTGTGCTAGGATAATTTTATAATTATTACTGCAATTGAAAAGACTATGAAAGACAGCTGAAAAATTCTTAGACTTGTCAAGATTTTCAGGCAAATCCTAATGTTTTGTTAAATTTTGAAAAGCAGATCAGGTAGAATTTTTCAGCACTCTGTTTATTTTTACATAATGAAATTTGCCAGAATGTCAGTTTGCATATATTTGGCTATAATGCTTGATCATATTTTACAGGTGTGAATACCTTTTTAGTTTTGACAACACCTTTGAGATACATGATGATATTGAAGTTCTCAAGCGTATGGGCATGGCATTTGGTCTTGAAAAAGGTCAGTGTTCTCCAGAAGACCTAGAAAAAGCTATACATATGGTGCCAAAAGCTTTAGGACCTTATGTTAAGGGTAAGTGTGCCTGATATGAATTTAAGACTCTTTCCTGAATTTTTTTTTTTTTTTTTTTTTTTTTTTTTTTTTTTTTAAAGGCTAAATATTCAATTTTTAAGATAACCATGGCAAAGCTGATGTTTAGAAAAACAGCAAAATCTGTACTTTTTTCCTTTGGCAGGCTACTTGATAAAGATATCTTGGTCTGGCATTTATTTTATACATTTGGCATCTTGTAGTACTGCAACACCTTTTGGGGTATGTCACAAAGAAAATTACCTTGTTGACAATGTAAGGAGGTGGACTGAAATGCAGTCTGTATATTCATAAGTATTTTAATAGAACTTGTTCTTTATAGGTTAATCATAATTCAGATTTCATTAGTATAAACCTGTTTATGATTAAAATAGGATGTGGCATTGGTGTATTAATTGCATAGACGAGTAATAATTTGGCTCCAATAAGAGGCTAGTTACCAATATGTTATAGAAATCTAACCTTTTTAGACAATTTGATTTTAGCAATGGGATTATCACAATTGGACACATCTTAAAAAGAACTATTCAATCATAGAGAAGCTTAATCAACTTTTTATAAAGTATTCAAAAGAAAAAATTGGAAAAAATGAATAGAACTCAATCCTCACTTTGCAGCCTTGATAGAGTTCAAAATTGTTTCCATGGTCTTGTAGGGGAAGACTTATTCTTCTCCATTCTGCAATCTCAAGTTGTAAGCCTGTCCCTATTCTATTGCTATTTCAGTGGCAAATATACAGATTAGTTCATTATTTAGCTTCACCAGTTCAGACCATTGCAAGAGCTAGGGCATGTCATATTCATGCTCATTTCCTGTGTTCCAAATGTAAGAAGAAAGTTTTATTTACAGTTTTTCCCTCAAGAACTGCCACTTTGTCAAACACTCCTATATGGGTGCTTCCCTGAAAACTTCAAAATTCAATTGTCACATTTCCTCCTTGTCCTCAGGATTTTCATTTCCTACTAACTTCTCTTCCATTAATATCACATACCTCATTCAACTTCACCATTAACCTTCTAATTTTGAGTGGCTCTGGTGTCTATTGAGTGAAATCAAGGTGATACCTATAACAAGCCTGGCAGATATGTGGCGACCTTAATTACAATTAAATAATTACTGAGAACGTTTTTAGCAAGGAACTTGTTAGTAATGTCCAATAATTAGCAAATGTAGCTTTTTATTAAGGAATACCTTAAAGCTATTAACAATTGACTTACTTTCATGAATTCAGATGTACAAAAAGAACAAAACTAACCACCTAACTTTATGCGCAAAAAATCACTTTATTCATTAAAAGTTAGGAATTTTTTTACATGAGCAATTTGTTAATACTAATTGAATAAACATAAAAAATATAGTTGTATAATACAATCAGAAAGCAAGTTCAACATTTTACCAAATTGTGTATCAGTTTGAAAATACTATAAGAAAAACAATGAATCTCAGATGAACAATAATTTTGATACTTTTTGTAAATTTTGTTCTGTGATTTTTTTTAATTTACATTAACAGGAACACAAAATTAACAGGATAATTTGGTGAGTTAATCAATTCATTATATGTAAAAAGGTGGAAAAATAAAAATTACCTAGTAAATGTTCCTCTGAATGGATAAGTGTCAATTATTTTTTTTTTATTTAGCTTGAACATATTTTCACTACTTGAAAAAAAAATATGCATTTTTAATATGCTGTCTTAATGGGCATTGTACAAGGAAATCATATGAACTTGTATAAAATTTTAAGATAATGTCAGAACTTTTTAGTGCTGGTTCTTCAATAACCTTTTGTACAATCAAACAAGCCATAATTTAAAAAATATATTTGACAGTATAATACCATGATGCATTTCAGAAACTAAATGAAGATTTTTGTTTAAGAATTCCTGCAAGTTTTCAATTTAACAGCACTAAACATAAAACAGAAAAACACCTACTGAATTGTGGTATCCAGTAAAAAAAAAAAAAAAATTTTTAATTACCAAAATCTTAAAATTCTCATTCTTGAAAAGGTATTATTAAATATTTCTTCAGATTATCTTGTAATATAGCCTGCTACATACAAAAATGACATTTTTAATAACTTTAGATATCCTAGTTTCAGGGTCTGGTAAGTTATCTGATGTTTGGCATGCTATTTCATTCAATATCCACATTTTGAGCAATTATGCCCTTGATCAAAGTTGTCATCTTTAATATCAACTTTCAACTTGAAGTAATTTAGTTTTTTTTCAATTACTGTCATAAAATATGAACCATCAGAAATTTGTCTTAATTTTTCAAATTCAATTTCTAAATACGCTACAGATTCACATCATATAATGATATTAAATTTACTGCTTAGAAAATATCTATAAACATAATTTAAACAAGTGCTTGTATGTTCACTTGCTAAACTGGTGTCCCTTGTAAATGATTTAGTTCTTAATTGCTTTGCTTCTATTATTTTTCTAAAATTAGAAAAAAAGTCATTTTCATCACCTAAGTCTGATATTGCTCTTTTTTTTTTTTTTTTTTTAATGGATCATTTTTCCATCATATCACCACCACTTTGACGCTAACACTTTTCCAGAAATGCAACACTTTCAATGATACAGTACTAAGACTTTTTTTAAGAGGCTAATGTGTGGATTAGGAAACTCCAGGATGTAGGAATTTCTGATTTAGGCTTGGGAGTTTTAGTGTTCAGTAAGTCAAATGGGAGAGTTAAGAATTTAAAATCCATACCAGTGCAGTTTTAAAGTTGTGTAAATTACTTGCATTATTTACATTATTCAGACAGTTATCCTCATCTTCATTGCCATATTCACAACGTTTTGGCTGTTGTATGCTCCAACCTTCTTCAGGTGATTGGAATTTCAAACCAAACCCTTTTTCATCCATTAGGGTAGATTGTTCTAGTTCCACATGCCATGCCTGTTATTTCTGTTGTGAATATAGCAATTAAGATGAGGATAACTGTAAATAATGCAAATAATCGTAATACCTCATCTCAAGAGATATAGATGGAGTGTCTAAATTATATGTTAATCCTCTTGCATATTAATAAAATGGTCTTATGGTATATTTTAAGAACAATGGTAAACTAAGCTAAATTTATTGAATTTAATTGACTTTTAAGCTTTGTGACAATTCTTAAAGGTATTTTTCATTAATTGTGCAGTACAAAAAGTTACATATTTTGTCTAATTATGAAGCATGTTGAATAAAAGTCAATATACTTTTTTTTTTTTTTTTAAAGAAAAAGATTAGAACAAAAAATGTTTAAAATTATATTGTTGCAGAAAAATATAGACTTTGTGAAAAATCTTTTTTTTTTTTTTTTTTTTTTTAATTAGTTTTTTACATTTTTTTGTGGTTTATTTTAAAGATAAAGTTGTAAAATATTAAATTTATTGAATTTTGTAGTACAAAAAGTTTTGTCATCTAAAGGGCAGTAAAATTAAAATACTGAAAATTCAAAGAAAATAAAATATGAACCATATATTTACTTCAATATCTTTAAAGTGTAAATTAACCTAACGGTAAAAAGCTAAATATTTCTTTTAAAGACTAAATTGTTTACAGTGATTCCAGCAATGAACTTTCATCGCCACACATTAAGCTTAAAGTCAGTGGCCCCTAATTGGCAAAGATCTACTCGCTTTTTCTGGTGTGTGTGTGTGTGGGGGGGGGGCTGTTATGTGTCACCTTGGGTGAAATCCAATATTTCAGGTTAAAAAAAAAGTTTAAATTTTACCAATTTTTGTAAAGCTGTACAAAAAGGGGCTTATGTTCAAAAGTCACTGGAGAATTTCTTTTTTTTTTTTTTTTCCAAGTTAACCTGTTGAAGGTTAATTAATACCCTGAACTTGAGAATTAAAAACTGCAGATAAAAATTAGTTTCTCATTTTTCCTTATAAGAAATTTTAGTTCATAAGTTTTGCAATTGGCATATGTGGACTCTTCCTTCTATCATAAATTATGTAATTAAAAATAGACAAAAATAATCTTAACAGACAAAGAATATTCACTGAACATGATTTAATGAAAAATAGTTTTACTTTGGTGTTAAATAAAATAAATGAAAACAAGTTTCCTACTTAAGCATTTTCTAGACAGTTGAGATTTTTTTTTTTTAAATGTATGGTATTTATCAATTTGTTCTGACAACTTCACTTTCCTTATTGAGCAGCAATAAAATGTCAACTGATGATCTCCATACCAGTGGAGAAAAAAAAATGGCTGAGGTTCATGCCATGTGAAAAAAAAAAAAAAAAAAAAAACAGCAAACAAATCTTTCCCTTTTTATCTAGATTATTCCATGGTGTGGCTCTCTATGGGATAAATTTTTTAATATTTGGTATTACTTAAATGTACTTCATATATGAAGAGATGCTGAAAAAAGTTGGGCTGAGAACATTTCAGAATACTCTTTTCTATTTCCCCACCAATTAAATATAATTAAAAATAAAATACTTTGTTAAACCCTGCATAAAAAAGAATTTAAACCCGAATTTATTAAATAAGTTAAGATTTTATCAGGAGTTTTTTTTTATAATTAATATACAATAAAGTTATTGCAGCAGTCAAGTGTTTTAATTTTTTTTTTTTCTTAATGTTAATAAAGTGGTGCATTTTTATCAAGTATTAATAAGAAATGTGGATATCTGCTCACAGCTATTTTTGTGAGAGGGCAGGGGGAAAATTTTCTGCTTAAAAGCAAAATATGACATTTATTAGTATCAACTTTTCTCTTTTAGGTTGTCAATAATTAAGTAGTGAGTTTAGCATGTTTACAATTTCTAAATTGCTTTGTAATTACCCATTACTGTATTTATCATCCTCAATCTTGTCATTTGCAGAATTAACTGAACCTGGTAGTGCAGGCACGTTGAGTGCTGGTCCAAGTGGCATACGTCCCATTGGTGCAGCAGCTATTGACACATCCTACCTCCTGTAAGTAATGTTTTGTTAAAAATATATACAAGTTTATTATTTGTGTGTATGTGTACATATGCCAGACCATTCATCCAGTTGGCTTGGAATTTTGTGAACTTTATTGGTGTTTGCTGCTTGACCATTGGACAAATGAATGTTTTTGCAAAAATATTTTTTTCATTATATAGACATTCTTTAGCATTTGTTTACAATTGTAAAGACAAAAATGCAGCAATTAAAAATCTAATTAATAAAATAAAAAGAAATAGAAATATTTTTGAAATGGATAAATTTTCTTCATTGTGTATTTTGTATTCTAGATTTTAAATATTAGGTTTTAGAACAGTCCAGTGCTATCTCTCTTTCCTTAACCATTGTTTTTTGTCAGGATTAAAATCATGGACTTTTCAATTTTAACATTTTTATTCCAAAATATTACTGTCTTGACATGTCAAATTGTCAACACGTCTGTTACTTAAAAATCTATATCGCACATGACCCCCAAGTAGGCAACTTTAGAAAAAATGCAGCAGAAACAAATGACTAAAAAGTTGTTAAATGCAATACTTTAGTTTTTGTTAGCAGTTTTACATTTTAAGAATCAGGCCATTAACCCTCAGCAGTTTAAGAAAAAATATTGATTCAAATTTTTCAAGGACTTGTCTTTCTAAGTTATAACGACCACTTATAATAAGCATTTGAGATAAAATAGGTAAGAAGGGTTATTTTAAAGGACATGGCCTTGAAAATTTTATTTTAATAAAAAAACTTTTGTGAAAAACTTGAGTAATTAATGGATAGATGTTTTATTCAAATCTATTGCTTTTAGTAGATTTTTCTATTTTCCAGTTAAAATTTCCAAAATGTAGGAAAGTAATTTTGATATTAAATTTTTCTCAAATTCTTGTTAATAGCTGAACTAAATGAAAATTGTACAATGCCTAAATAATGTCAATTTATTAAACATACTTCTTCCTGAATTTGTTGTGATGTTTGTTTTTAATTTACCTGAAGAGAATATTTAAAAAAAAAAGAAAAAGATAGTGTGTGTTAAACTCCTTTAGCAGATTGAGTCAACTTTTATCAGTTTCCTACTTTTGATGAAATGTTTCTTTCATCTGGGAAGCTGATATTCAACTTAGCTGTTTGTTGAAGCCATCCTTGGACATTATGATTAGCATGTGATGAACCTTTCTTTTGAGGTATTTTTTGCCCCTTATATTGGACTTGTGTATCTGCGAAGTTGGAATTCATGAGCTCCAAAACAGAATTGACATCTAGCATTGGTTATTGCATCAATTGGAGAAGGTGGTTGAATTTTATTAATGTTTATTTTATTAAAAGTTCACTTAATGACTCCACCCCTTTATCTATTATCTTAGGAAATACCAATAGTTTGGGGAGAGGAGGGTACCATTGGTCAAATTGACTTCCTGTCCCAATCCAGCAAATGTATTTTGTACAAATTTTAATGATACCTGATTAATGCCCTCCCCCTTTTTTCTACACCCACTTGATTATGGTTGGTAGTGGGGATTAACAACTGTTTTAGCACAATTTTTTTTTTAATACATTGTTATTGAATCATCTCTATCCTCTGTGTCCAATGTTTTTCAGGTCTAAACCCTTGGCTCCAAGCTCTCCTCTTGCTACTCCTCTACCAGACAATGGTTGTCGAAGTAATGATCTTACTGATGCTGAAGTGGCATTAACTCACGACTTCTTGAACCAACCCAGTTATGCTGCTTCTCGCGGAACCCTAATTGAAACTCCTTCAGAACAGTTTTCTGATGATTGTGACTCTGATGATTCTAGCAATCAGTTGGAAGTGAATTAGCTTTTTTTTTTTTTTTTTTTTTTTATCAATCATCAAAATGTGATCCATTTGAGAGAAAGAGATAAAAATTGTGCTAAGACTTCTCAGGGTAGAAACCAGTGTCAAAGAATTGGATTGAATGTGTCTTAAGTTGTGTGAAACTTTAATGAAATGCTTGTGAGCACCACAGACTAAAGGATTTAAATAGATTGTTTTCATTACCTTTTTTTTTTCCCTATAAAAATGAACAGAAAATAGCAGCTATTTAAAAACTTAAAAAAAAAAAAAAAACCAACAATGTCCATTTGTTCTCATGTTAGTTAACCCCCCCTCACTTATTTTGATCACGTCATTTTCTGTTTGTTTACATTCTTTTCACTTAAACTATTTATTTTCATTCTATTTTTATCCATTTCATTTTTCTTTAACTGTTCAATTTCCTTCTATCTTACTTTCATTTTCTTCCTTTACATATTTGTTCTCAATCACATCTTTACCTAATGCATATATATTTGCCAGATTCTTAAAAACGAAACAAAAACAAAAAAAAAAATACATGGACTAAAACTGCACTATTGATTGTATTTTCTGCCAAGGAAACTTGTATCCGACCATGTTAAAAAAAAGGAAAAAAAAGTATACATACAAAACCTTCACCCTATGGATTTATTCAGCTGCCATTGACTTTTCTTCCTTTTTAAAAGAGGAGAATGATGATATGTAACCCCTTGTTTTTGACTTAAATGCAGCCTGTACAGAGTTTTGCACTAAGGTTCATATCAGCATAAACTTACATTTCTACTTGTGTTTTTGTATTTAACAGTTTGTTTGTTTCTTCCTTTAAATTCTAAGCCACTGATTGTCAAACCTTTTATTTCAACTGTAAACTCCATTTTATTACATTATTTACTTTGAATATAATTGATGGTCAATGTAACTTCTCTTTTGAACCTTCAAGATTTAAGTTTCATTCCTTTATTTTCTTTAGTTGCATAAGATGATCAGTTTTAGGGTAATTATGCTACCTGTGATTAAAATATTAGTCTTTTTATTTTTGAAATAACATATCAACTGTTAAGTAACTACCTATTTCTACAAAAAGAATTTATATACCTTTTCTTTTTTAAACATAAAATTTATAAAGACTAATTTAACATTTTGGAAAAATGTATTTAAATATACGCAATACATTTAGCAAGTAACTTGAAGTTGCTTAAAGGCATTACTATGGCTCTTGTTATACCAGTCTTTGGCCATTTACTGTGGACTTTTTTGCTAATTGGCTGGGGTTTCTTGATGCTATCCAACGAGTAGGTACAGGGTTTGCCACACCATCTTTACTACTTATTTACAAAGATGGTAAAAGTGTTGGGTGGTCGAGCTCAATGTTGGACATATTCATGTTCTTAACTGTCTAATCTATTAAAAATCATTCATCCCGGTGGCCAAACTCGAAATTAGTTTGCAGTGCCAGTATTTGTAGTTCCTTTGTGAAAGTGTTATTGCAACTAGTTTTAAGGTTGGGTTTTTTTATTTATTTTTTTTAATCTCCCAGTGGGTAATCTGGCCTGCTTGTTTTCCTGGTAACATTTTGAAATAAAATCCTAGGTTTTGTTACTCCTCCATCAGAAAAAAACAAATTGTGATTTAAAGCAAGCAAATGTGTGTGTGTTTTTATTTTATTTTTTTTTATTCATCAAGAATGCTTCACAAGTTTTCTACCATATAACATTTGTCCCCCCAATCATTATTTATAAACAAGGAGTTTATAAAAAGTAAAATTTATGCACATTTTAAAGTGGTATATGTGCATCCATATTTACCCAACTTCTAATGTGATAAAACTAGTATTTTATACTCACAAATTCCCAAGGAGGAGTCTTCATTTTTATTATGTTTACAAAGGTTTGACATTTCATTGGCTTGATCTGAACTTATGGTGCCATAATTAAATCTCACTACCCACAAGTTTCACAAAATTAAGCTGTGTATTTTCTGCATATTGATGTAGAATAAATATTTGAAGGGCTAAATAATGTAAAAGGTTGCAGCATGACTTCTGAGCCCTTATCTTTTCCATGGTTGAGCCATTGAACAAATGCCTGTAATCTAATCCTGCTGAATGGGATGTAAAGATATCATAACTCTAGTAAGTAGAGAACTTGTTTTGAGGAAACTTTAGTTACTGCCTGGTACTTTCTAAAGATTCCATTTTTCCATCACTACTTAAAGTGAGTTATGTATCTTTACCTGTGACAAATATTGGGACCACTGTTTGTTTTTAATCTATTTTTCTTGTTGTGAACACTAACAAATCATGTGCCTTGCAGTGGGAATGACAGTCCTTGCCCTACTTTTAAAAATGTTAATATTCTCACAATTTGTTTATGACAATTTATGAGCAAATTACTGAAGAGCTTGAAGTGCCTAGTCCAGTGTTTACCAATTTAATAAAATTGGCTGTCATCAATTCTTTCAGTGTAGTCTCTCTGCAAAATCTGTTTTCTTGCTTCATTTAAGAAGCTCATTTAAGCAATTTTGTATGACAGGAATCAGTATGTTAAAAAAAAAATAAAAAAAATTTTTTGCAATGCCTTTTGATATTTCAGATTTCTTGTAAGAGATGAAATTCTCTTTACATTAACCATGTTGAGTGAATTTCTGAAGTGTCACTCCTAACCACTGGTAAAGAGTTCATTCCAGTAACAATGTTGGTAATATTAACATGTACAATGTTTCTTTTCACGATTGTAATTAGACAATGTAAACTTTGAAGGACTTTATTTAAATGTGAACTGCTTAAATAATCATTATTTTCCATTTTGAATTTGACTGAATCAATATATAATGACCTGCAGCTGTTTATTGATGTATGAAGGACATTTTAGTTTTCATACAAGAAAGATTCTGTACAGCCTTTGCAAATAGTTTTCTCAAAGAAAGAAAAATGGCAAATTTGTTTAATTTTATTATGGATTCAAGATTTCATTAATTTTTCAATATTTACATGCCTTCTTCGGATTCTTCATTTTGTAAATAATCATCTCTTAAACTTTGCCACCAAGGGGCACAGTATTTCTTTAGTTGTTCTTTGTGCCCTACTTTGGCTCGAATTGCAATTGGCAGTGAGATGCTGGAATACAACTCAATATCCTTCTCTGTGATGGTCTGAAATTTGGGAGCATCTGAAATAGGGTTGGGGTAAGAAAAATTTAATTCAATTATTTGCAGACTTTTTTTCTTTTTTTTTTTTTTTAAGTAATAAAATAAAGATAAAAACAAGTTATACTGACTTATGACAGTAGATTGAATAAACTTTTTGAATTTGTATTTAAAGCTGGATTTATATGAATATCTTGCTGTTCATTATTTAGAAAAGTGGTAGGAGGAAAATTGATTAAAGAAAGGTTAGACTTACTCAGCATTAAATCTAAATCTATTTCAATTCTTGCTTGGAGAGCAGCATGGTGGTGTTGATATTTTCTTGAAAATGGCAAATTAGTGTAATATTTATGGAGAAGTTCATTGGTTTTTTGTTGCAATTCTCTTGGGTGTTGGACAGAGTCCAGTTGTGCCTGGAAAAGCAATTTGTATTGCTTAGATACAATAAAAATGAGGTACAATTTTGAAAAAGAAAAACACCTACTCAACCTTCAGCTTAATATAAATATTTGATAATTACCCTCTGTTCTTTCCACTGGTTTATTATTTGCTGTAATTCTTCTCTCCGTGTTTCTGTTAAGCTCAAGGGTTTTACATAGAGCAGAGGTGAAAACTTTTTTTGTCTAGTTTTAAGCCATTTCCGAACCTGAAAGCATAGAAAATGCAATTGGTAAATTATACATTAAGTTTTGAAAAATAACTAATTGCTAAAATTGGATTTTTTTTTTTTTTTTTTTTTTTTTTTTTATATATAATTTTTTTTTTTTTTTTTTTTAAATAAATGGCAGCTTACTGAATGCACTTGAATAAAAGTATACCATATATTTAATGTTAAAATTAATTTTCCACAGAAATCTCTAATGTACCAATATTTGAGAAAAAGGTTAAAATTGAGGTATGGTTAGGAAAAATGTTATAAGAAACCATCTTTTGAATTTTTCACATTCCAGTAATTGGGAATTTCAAATATTTTTGAAAACTGTTTATTTTGGCTTAGAACTTGTTTTTCTTAGATGTTTAATCTTAACAAGCCAGTGGTAAAACTTTGTCTTATTTGCAAGAATTTTTTAGGTTAAAGGAAAGAGACAGATTTTTGTATAATGGACAATTTTTTTTTAATCAAAACTTTATATAAAAGTAGGCAAGAAAGGAAAAATCTATGTAGCCAAAGATTTAAAAAAAAATAGTTGATAATTGTAAACATCACAAAGGTATCGACCATATTTTTCTGATTTTTATGTTTTAACTTAAAATATTTTGAAATTTGTACACAGATAAATGAAAATGGCTGATAACTGAAAAATTAAATTGTTTTAAATTTAATATTCAGGTTTTGGGCTGGATCATTACAGTGCTTTTTAGATTAACGGTTGATTGTGTCATGACATTTTAGTTTCTTAAAGAATTTAATTATAAAGATTTTGCTCAATTTACCTGTTGCATAATCAGACCATATATATATATATATATATATATATATATATATGCAAGCTTTAGTGAACTGATAATTACTTCACTTTTATCTGGGATAAATAGAAGCCCTTTTTGCAGAGATCCAGATATTGACACTAGCACAAGTAATTTGCTAATCTTTCAAGTCATGGACAATGAATTTTAATTCTCATTGCTGATGAGAAATACAGAACCAGCAGTTATCTAAAACCCTAGATTATTTTTAAAAAGATAAGTCAGCTTACATTTCTTTGTATTGTGATTGCAGCCTTGTGACGTTTAAATTCCTCTTGTCGTTCTTTCCATTTTGATCTCTCTCTATATCCTTTCCACACTTTCTGAATGCAAATGACAGCAGACTCCATTTCCCCATATAAATGTTGCTGGATGTGAGCTGGAAGTAATTAAAGAAATAAGGCTGTCAATTTTATAAAGTTCTTGATCATGTTGTACTTGATGATTGTTTTCTGCACATATCCATTGCTTGTCAGTTCTTAGTGTCTTTAATCTGTTTAGGTAAAATATTTTGAAAAGGAGCGATCAACATATGATGCTCTATTAATATATACCCACAACACATTATCTGACCTTGTAGATAAACTGAAAGTCAAACATATGATTGATTTTATTCCATAACGAAATTCTGTTAAGCCATACTGATAATGAACTAAGTATCACAAATCGGCTAATAAAAATGATCTAAATTTCTAAAATCCAGAATAATTATTTAAGAGCACTCAGAATTTGTAGTCTTCAATATTTACATGAAGTGGAGAAATATACTGAGAATACTTTCCAATACCACAATTACTTCATATTCAACATGAAACAAGGCCTGTAAAATATTTAAAAAAGAAAACATTCAAGCAAATCCAACTTGAGATATGTTACTCTACCAACCCACTAAGACAAGTGAAAAGAATTTAAACAAAATTTGTTATTACTTCTGAGGAATTTACTCACCTGTTTGCCACAAAGAATAGGCAAAAGGAATTTAAATCTTACAAAACCCTCAATGCTTTAGTTGCTGACCATAATTTTGATTTTAAAAATGCTTTAAGATAAAGCAGTTTACCAAGATATAAATGTATAGAAAGTGTTTTGATTGTGATAATAGAACTGCCAAGAAAGCAATGTGGAATACTAAATGAAAATTATAAAAACAAGGAAACTAAATTAAATGAGCTAGACTACATTCCCAGACACATTAAAAAGAATTTCCATTAACAAAAACATTACTTTAGTCTGAAGAAGTCCTTAAGGATGAAGCACATTACACACAATTCACCTGCACTTTATTGTTCATTTGCCTAACATTGTTTTGATATATATATATCTCAAAGTGTAGAGAACGAACAGTAAGATTACAGCGTTCAAAACATTAATTTAAAAACTGCTCAATACACAAAGTAGAGCTGTAAATATTTATTTATCTTATGCAGTGTTAAATTAGAACACGCACATATCCACTACAAAATTATACATTTGTTTCAATGTCAAAAAAAGGAAAACCTTTTTTTAACGTGTCATCCTGAAGAGAAGATGAACCATGATTCTCCACCTGATGAGACGTTTTTAAAAAAAAAAAAAAAAAAAAAGTACAATTTTGTAGTGGATATGTGCATGTTCTAATGTAACATTGCATAAGATAAATGTATATATATATATATATACATACAAAACAGCAAATATAAACTTGTTTAAATATTACTGCTATCTGATGGTAATATCACTGTCATCCATCCAGTAAAAGATAATTTATTTATTTTTTTTTATGAGTATCTATTATATTAGTTTACTGCCTGAAGATTGTGTGACTAATATTACTAGCCACATGAAATTTATAATCACAGACAGTAACATTTAAGATCTGTTTCTCATATGTATATAAAATATGCAATAGACATTTTTCTCATTTTTAACATTCAAAACTGAGAAAACAATGTTTAACAGTAATAATAGAATGTAATGTTTACCTTTCATAGTAAATGATAGTGTTATAAACCTTGCGCTGTGTAATTTTGATGATCAAATATTACAATACTTCAAAACAATTCTAACCAACATTTATTTCATTATGGATTGAAAAACAGGAAAAGGATCAAAGCCCAAATGTTGAATGGTCCTAGAGAACTGGAATCTTTTGCTCACCTGCTCTTACGATTTCTATTTTCTTTAATTGTTTTTCATGAAAAGACCTCATGTTCTGCTGGAGTTCACTTCGTTGCTGCTCAATCTGCCAAGCCTTCTTATGTTGTTCTTGCAATTGCTGATTTTTATTTTCTTTCCATTTGCTTTAAGAAACAGAAAAGAGGCAATGTAGAGATTCTTTATTTAAAAAAAAAGAAAAAAAAAGATCAAATCAACTCAAAAAAATCAGTTAGAATTATTTGCGTGCCCTCCCCCAAAAAACAAACAAACTCTTATTTAAATCTTTGTAGAAAAATATTTAATTATTGGTAAATAAACTTTTTCTTTTGCTATATGAAATGTTTGTTATTAAACATTTAAAAAAAAAAAAAATGACGGACTTCCATACATTAAAAAACTTCATAATATTTTTAAATAATGGGCAGATACCAGAAGTAACCTGGAGAACATGTCTCACTTGTACTTAATGTGTGTTTCATTGAATAATATAGACATATTGTGTCTTTTCAGTAATTTTCAAGGAAGGGTCCGTTTTTTTTTTTTTTTTTTTTTATTATTAACTAATACTTCGACCCTTTTCTAAGTTCATCTTTAGAGGTAAATTACAAAGATAAACATGCTATTGTAACTGATAAAATCTGCATTCCATTGTAATAGTGATTTTTAAAAAACATATGCAAATGCACTCTTATAGTTATTTTAGAATTTTAAAATTTGTTGGATACAAGTCCTATTGCATAACAACTACACATTCCTGTCCACCTTCATAATACAGGAAAATTGTTGACAACACCAATATACTACATGAATATAATAAACAAAATCTTCAAGCTCTCAAGAATCTCTATATCAACATCAACTCAACAAAATTTATTATAAATATAGCAATGACATTAGTGTGCATATAGCATTTATATACTAATGACATTTTACATTTATACCAATTCCTGGTCAACTCCCTTATATTGAAATGCTTGTTTTGTAAAAAAAAAAAAAAAAAAATTTCCATAACTCCAATGGATAAATATAAAAATTCTGAAATAACTTCTTATTGATGTGATGGTTCCTGGTGGCCATATCAAAATCAAAGAAATTGCTAAGTTCAGGAAATACGCTGATCTTGATAGAAACTGCCATAAATGTGGTACGTTCCCCTTAGATATCATTGGGGAGTTGGAGTCTATTAAAACCCGAACTTAAGAGTCTTGCATTGGGAAGAAATCAGAATAAAGCCTAGTATACCATCACGCCTGAAATCTGTGATGCTTAGCAATGCAAATATTCTATGAAAGGTGCTATGTGTTTGAGATTTTATGACTCAATGGAGAAAACCCAGAACGCTAGATTGAAAAGGAAAAACCATGTGAAGAAAATAATAAAAAACTAATAATGTTATTCGAGTAAAACATGGAGTCAGGCCAGGAAGAAATGAACATCTGAGGTAAAATTAGGTTATGGGAGGCCTCAGCTTCGTATATAGGACAGTAATTCTTTAGCTTTTTTTTTTTTTTTTGACTGAAAAAGTGTTGCACATGCCATCAAAAGTTGCTAAGTACAAAGTGTTTTATTTGATAGCAAAGAAGGAAATAAGATTGATTTGACACCTTTTAGTTTTTGATGTATATCTCTTGAATTGGTATTTACTTGATTCCCACAAAATCAAGATGTGACACAAGGTCGATTAACGTGGGAGACCCAGTGTTTTCCACTCAAAGGCCACTGGTCAAAAAATGGTCATAGCTTGTCCAAGCTGGTCAGAGCCTAGTCAAAGCTGGTCATGACTTGTCCCAACAGGTCCAGGCGGAGCCAGTCCCAGCTAGTCAAAGCCTTGATCGAATCTCAGCCTTCGAAGAAGAAACGATCCATTATTTGTCAAAAACCCCCAGCCAAAAGGCCGAGGGGAATTAATATATATCTCTTGAATTACTTACAAATACATTCTCTGAAATTTTCCAATTGATTTGTTTATCTTATGAAGTCTTTTTCTAGCAATGTAGCCTCGCCAAATAGCCTGGATTTTTTGTGCAGCAACATGGGACTTCTGAAAAATAAAATATATATAATTGTATATATACTTACATAACTTATTTTTATTTTTCTATAGAGAAACTTTTTTACTTTTTTAACTGTTTATTAACAAAAATAAAAGATTCTTTTAAGAATCAGAATGTCATTCATAAATTTCTTGATAAGATTAAAATATGTTTAGGTTTGAGATACGAAATGTTGTTGACATATTGTTTCTACATTAAGGATTGTCCCACAAATGATTAAAAATGTTGGTTTGTGAATTTGATGGATTAGTAATTGTGAGTTCAATCTCTGCCTGGATAATACAAACTGAGAGGGAACAAAATGAGATATCCCTAGATATGAACAGTGGAATAAGAACAATCTACCTCTGATGATTAAATAAGGGAATTCAATTTAAAAGTCCCTGATGGTTACACAAATCAACAGACGAAGGCCAGCGGATACAACAGCCAAAATGTAATAAAAATGAGGACATTAGTCCGAATGTACATAATTTACTCATTTTAATGAATTTAAAAGGTTTTAATGAAAAAATAACTCAGGAGATTAAGGATTAAAATCTAGTGACAATAATTTGCAATTCTTGAAAGAAAAAAAAAAAATTGAAATAAGACTAAATAAGCTACTACAGGAAAAATGTTCATTTTAAATCTGGAAAAAAAGAAGGCACATTGGATAAAATCTGAAATTGCATTTTGTTGCCATTTGTTTTCCTCCTTACCTCCAGAAGATAGATCACTGGAAAAAAAAATAAAAAAATAAAAAAAAATCTCGTTTTCTTTTCTCTTTTACTGGTAGAGTTTATATATTTTTATATCTTTTTTATATATTTTATTGGTAGATTTTTTTTTTTTTAATTTAAACAGTAGATTTTCTTTGGTCAAACTACTTCTTGACAAAAAGGTGCCTTCTTGATAAGAGAAGTTTATAAATGGTTCTTACCTCTTTTATTGCTTGCTCTGAAGAGCCAGCATTCAGGAGGGAGAGAAGTGGTTTTAATTCGCTACGATAACCTTTCTCTGCTAATTTGCTTAAGAGAACACGAAGCCCTCTTCAAGGAAAAAATAAAAAAGTAAAGAAAAACAGCAGTATTAAAATGACTGAAATTAAACAAATCACTTAGAACATCGAATACAACTTGTATACATTTGTAGGGAAGTTATAACTAGGAAAATAATTATAAAACCCTCTTACATATATATAAAAATGCTAATAAAAATGAGAAACAGCAAGATGTGGAAACAACAAAACTCTTATTTATTATCTGGGTGCTATGTGGTGTTGGACACATGAGAGAGAGTAATATTAAGTAAAAATGTAAGTTTCTGGTTAAATACGGATCAGAATCCATCAGAATGATAAGATAAAGAATAAGTAAAGTGTATACAGTCTTTCTTGTATGTTTTTTTTATAGATGTTTATTATAAACAGAGAATTTACTTAAATATTTGTATCTATAAAAATAACATATAAACAATAAATATATTAAAATAATTGTCAGACTTAGTCTATTTCATAATATATAGATATGTGTAATGAGTGTCCAGATAATTTGGTTGGAAAATACAAGAAGTGTCTGGGATTTTCTTTGAATTTTTGTTGAGTGCTAAAAGATAAATGTTACTATCATGACCTGAAAAAAGAAAAGGAGACAAAATTTGTGTTGATGCACATGTTGATGGCTTATCCACGCTGACGGCTTGTCTGATAGTGAGAAGGTTGAATGTTTGTGTGTGTAGAGGAGAAAAGTGTAGTAGATTCTCATTGGTTTACAATGAATGAATTAATGATAATTATAATTGTTATAATTATTTTATAATTTTTTTTTTTTTTTTATGGACACGGCATCTTTATAGATTGATATAAAGAATTAAGGTTGATTTCTATGTTACGCTTAGGGTTACCAATTCTGTTGAGTTATTATAAAGGCCATATATATTGGGTTGTCCGGAAGGTTTATGCTGATTTTTAAGGGAAATTAAAGCAAAAAACAAAATTATGTTATTAATATTTATTCACCTAAATATGAACCATTTCATTACACAGCCTTTCTCCATTTTTTCTTCAACTTAAAGATTCCATCTTCCCAGAATTTTGGTGCTTTCTCAGCAAAGAACTCATTAAGGTGGTTTTGTATGTCATCCAAAGAATTAAAATTTTTACCATTGAGATTATTTTGCAAGGACCTGAGTAAATGAAAATCTGAAGGAGTAATGTCTGATGTGATAATTATAAACATTTTACACCATACAAAACACTTACTTATATTTGGTGCATAATAAATCAATTAAAGGTGTGTGGTGTTCACAAAACTCAAAAACACATCGACTGGCAGCTCTGAAAAAGAGTTTAAAATTGTCTTTGAAGTAATAAAAGGTAACAGAGTGAATTTCAGAACTCAATATTAAAGATAGGAAAGTAGACATTTACTTGAAAGCTGTGTTCACATATACAAAACACACACACACAAACTTGAAAATTTTAAGATAAATTATTTCTAATAAACCAAGAAAAAGTAAATATTTAGTTGCAGGAAATCTGTTTTGTAAAGAATCAATATTCAAGAAATAAATTTCTCAGACACATTTTAAGCAATGCATTTGTTTGTGCCATACAAAATTAATTCCTAATTTAAGCATAAGCAGCTTAAAATAATCCATCAAAGTTCTGTTTCAGTTAAAAAGCATAATATAAACTCATTTTATATCTTTAAATGTTTTTTCATCATAAATATCACTGTGGCCAATGGTGCCCTGGCCACTGAGTATTCAGTGGTATCAAGTGGTGTTCGGGAAAGTGTTTCTTAGTTGAAGTTCCAGATTGTTGAGCAGAGACTCTGAAAGGGGTGATTGTGTGGTATATTCAACCTGGAAGTCATATTGTTTCAGATGGCAGGTCTACTTATGCTGGCATCAAAGATAGACTCATGTTGTTATTCATCAACAGCATTTTGTGGATCCTGCGATCCAAGAACAGTTCTGTGTTTTCAGGATTTATTTGCTGTGTATTCCACCACTACCCATTGTAATAAACATATATACATATATTTTTTTAAAATCAGTATCACCCAATGCAAGGCAGTAAAGCCACTAGGGGTTACAGAAGGGGTTACAGGGTATGGAAGAATTAGGAACAGAAACATTAATAATGAGTGAGAAGAGGAAAGAGTAATCAGGAGGACAGTAGATAGTGATTGACATTGCATTTAAATTTTTGGCGAGAAAGTATGGAGCTGGAAAGGAGTTCCACAAGTCAGAAGTGTGAGAAAAGAAACTGTTAGCATAGAATTTATGATTACATTGAGCCAGCACAACTGTAAATTGATGAGATCTTGGCCTTATTGATTTTATGCTGTTCAGTGAATAGCAGTTTATTTTACACCATTTAATTGAAGGATTACCCATTTTTTCTTTTTTCTTCTTTCAAATATTCCAATTCAAACATTTAAAGATTTTGATTGCTTGGAAACCTGGCTAAGATTTCATCTCAAGTCAGTGAACACTACAAGATTTTATGGAATTACTTCAGTCTAATCTAGTTTAATAAATATAAATGGAGAATAGACATGTGTTTTTCACTGCTAGAAGGGGGGGGGACCAAGCTTTGCTTCATTGCTATAATAAAGTTAGGTTAAATTTAAGTTTAGAATGCATACAATTTGATGAAAATTAAAGAAAAAATTGCATGCAATTTAATTTAAAGCATATTTTTTTCAGATTTCATGACTGTATTTGCATTGTTCAAAAGCAAAGAAAACTTTAGCAGGGCTTGTTTTATAGAAAAACTAATTAGTATAAGACAGGATTAGAAAAAAAACGTATCTATTCATGTGAAATTGGGAGTGTGGAATAGAGACTGCAATCAAATTTCACACCAGAAGCCATGTGTAAGATTGACCTAAGGTTACTCCCAGTCACGGAATACAAAAGTACATGACTTTACACCTGCATCCAGTATAAGAATCTTAGACTGATGAAAATATAAACAATTGCCCTTGAAGATGATTGGGGCAGTCTCACACACATTACAGACAAAATGTATGGTCCACATGTTGGACCAGGTCTCTGGGAGTTTACTTCACATATACACTGGGTGGGAGTAATTGATGAAATTTTAAAGTGAATAAAAAAAAAAATTCAAGTCTTGTGTTACCATACAGAAGGTAGGGAAGAGAAAAACATTAATTTATAATTAAGGTACAAAAGAGATTTTTATTTTTTTTTTTTACTTACAAACCAACTTTAGGATCTGTATAAACTGACAATTTATAAATGAGTTCATCAAATATCGTATCAACGGCTGTTTCATCCAACTCTCTCAAGATATTCCTAAAGAAAAATAGAATTTACAAAGAATTTTTACAGACAAAAAACAAAGATAAAAGCCGGCTTGTAGATCAAATATTTAACAAAATGTTTGGTTAATGTAATTTTAATTGCTACTTTGAGTACCCATTAAAATTTCATGGATTTCTGATATTTAAATTTCTAATTCATAAGTGATGTAATGGAATAACCTGTTACCCCCATGAGTGACTACACTATACGTAGTAACAACCTATAAGTATCCGTAAGGCAACAGACTACAGGAGACTGGCTGGAATCTTTTCAGCTATATGGTTGAACTCTCTGCCTTTGGGCAGAGAGGAACCTGGATGGGGCTCTGCCAAAGGGCAGAGTCTTGTTCGGGGAGGTAGACCAACCCATTCCTGTTTATATGGGTTCTACGGGGATTTTTTGGACGAGTCATCGGCTCGGATGACCTATGTTAAACTTGGCCTTGTGCCACATCTACCCCCATGGTGGGGGGGGACTAGTAAATATTGACTAGCTGGAATCTGTTCCAGCTGTGCTAGTCGAATTCTGCCTTCAGGCAGAGAGGAACACGGATGAGGCTATGCTGAAGGGCAGAGTCATGTCTGGGGAGGTAGACAGACCTGATCCCGTTTATGTGGGGGTCTACGGGGATTTTTTGGCCAAGCCTATAGGCTTGGGAACCCTACATTAAGTTCGGCCTTGTACCACATGTGACTGCGTAGGGCAGTTGTGTTAGATACCGTCTAGCTGGGATCTGTTGAGTACAACTCAGACATACTTGAGAACTACCGACCTTCCAATAGTAGCACTCATTACTGGATTGACTTGCAGTGACCTTGTGCATAACTGTTACCTTTATTCTTATTGTACTGGTTTTGTACAATAAACCGTTACTTATTTTATCCACCTTGTTTTTCAAGTATATATTCCTATTAGCATGGAATATAACAATAAGTTAATGATTGAACAAGTTCCTTGACTATAAAATACTTGTAGAAATTCCGATCTTGTATTGTTAAATATTTAAGTTTAACAAAATACTGCCATAATAATAAGTGTGAATTCAAGACATTTAAAGAAGTAACAGAGCAGAAATGAAAAGGTTTAAAATTGATAAAGTTTTTCATTTCAATGAAGCAGATGTTAAATGCGTGAGAGTCTCATCACCTCTTCTATCTTTCCTATTTTCTTTTTTACACAGGCTTTCTTTTTTCTCACTAAAAAAACAAACAGTATCTCTGATATATTTTTTTACTTCCATCTTTCCTCACATTCAGACCGGAATGGTCCATTATTTATTTGAGACAATGGCAGGGTGTAACGCAGGTGCTAACTTGCTGACAGAGAAATGGACAGAATTATAATACAATGAACATAAGTGAACAAGAGGTAAAAGCAGAGATTTTACAAACATGAATGAATAATCAATTTCAGAACAGACATACTTGAAAGCATCAAGTTTCTGGATGCAATGAAAAAAAGTAAAAACAAAAAAAACATGATTAATAATAAAAGAACATTTTTTGCAACATGTTTGGTTTTCAGTTTTAACAATGTAACCTTTTTCACAAGTTTCTCAAATGGAAATGTAAAACTATTAGAATAATTTCAACACCCACTTTTATTTTTACAAAGAAGCTATTCATTTAATAATTAGATGAGAATATATAATATTATAATATATAATGAGAATAAGTTCAACATCTACTTTTCCTTCTTCAATGAAGCTATACATTATTCCATTTAATGAATTAATGACTTTGAAAAAGATGAAATTTGAAAGCAGTATAATCTGAAACTTATATCAATGGAGTGTTGCAGTTTTTAAATTTACTAAGAGCTACAAAGAACAGGAAATTGTGGAGAGCCATGGTCGCCCACGTCCTGAAGGGACACTGCACATAGAAGAAATTACAGTTTTTGATTAAATTTAAGGAAGTTTAGCAATTCTGCTTTGAAGAAAAATTCCCCAAATGACAAATACACAATTTTGTTTATAAGCAACTGTACTCAAATATAAACCTTAAGCAATGTCACTATTGACATCAATATGGCTTAAGCAAATCAAAAAAAAAAAAAAAATTTAAACTATTACTAAATGTTGTTTTTATATCATATGCAAGATTTCTACCAATTCTACTCATTTAGCTATACTGAAGCCTGAACATAGACATTTAAGCAAGTATTGATAAAAATCTCGAGTTGCCTATGAAAAAGAACTCATGCCTCAGAAAATTGAACTGTTGAATTAATGTAGCCTTTCATAGCAATTAAAATGAATGCCATATATACTCGAGTATAGTATGACATTTTATGATCAATTTTTTATGAAAAATATAGGGGCTCGCACTATACACAGGTAATTTTTTTTCTGCAGGGGTTAAAATTTATGCATAAAAGAGATCGCACTATACATGAAGTTGGCTTATACACGAGGATATACAGTAATTGCCTATTACATTAGGGTTAAAAATAAAGAGTTATTTCCCTTGCTAATAGATGAAAATCAGACACTGAGAATAGATCATCATCTATGTGCCGTGTCCCTTCAAAACGTGGGTGATCATGGTTCTCCACAACTTCCTTTCCTTTGTAGCTCTTAGCAATGTTTGTCTTTTTACTATTTCTCATAATACCTCTTCTGCCAACCATTTACACAAGCTCATTAAGTAGGTTATTCTCTGTTTTCCTGTTCCTATTGTCTTCAACATATTTTGGGAGTGTTAAATTTTCCAAGCATTCTCCCTTCAGAATGAGAATATTGAAATTTCTACGGCACATAATCTCTAGAAATTTCAATTGTCTCTTTTTGATTCTTCATCTTTGAGGAGATTGTCCAGCATTCACTGCCACATAGAAGAACTGATATTACATAACAGTTCAGTATAAGAATAGATAGGCAAAATAAAACTAATGTAAAGGCTTATGGCCACATCATGTTGAAACACTGATTCCCATACGATCATTGAAGTTAAGCAACGTCGAGCCTGGTCAGTACCTAGATGGATGATTGCTTGAGAATACCAGGTGTTGTAAGCTTGGATGTGCAGCTGGCATAATGGATAATGGTTTAGAATTGTCAACCAGAGAACTGAGTTCCAATTCCCATTGGGTTTGTTATATTCCTTATGTACAAATACCTTTGGGAAGGGTATGAATTCACCTATTCTTGCCCCAGTTATGGGTTAATTCAGTCAGTCAGTTATGTGCCATGCATGATACATGCTTAGGCGATCATGTATCTTTCAGTACATAACTGACGAGGCATATTTTTTTCTCGTAGTAGGTTGCCATTTCTTTCTGCGGTAGACCAATTGCCATCCAAGGCTATAGAGCCCAGTCTTTCCTGCTATTTACCCATAGCTGGAGGGAGAAGAGGATTCATACCTTCCCCAAGGGTATTAGCATGTAAGTGAATGTAATGGACCTGACTGGAATTTGAACTTGGCTCTCCGATTCCTCAATCCGAGCCACTATCCATTACTCTACCGTGCCTCCTATGGGTTAATTAGTAAGACTTTTAGCACTAAACCATTATTATCTATATAAAAAAAAAAAAAACAACAAAAAAAATAAAATTACAATCTAAAAATATTTCCTGGCTTGGATTAAATAAGCTGTAAAGGGTTGATAAGTTGTAGAAAATCAATCAATCAATCAATCAAGTGTTGTAAAGAAACCAAGACTAGAACTTTGTATTCAATTACTGCATTTTTAATCAAAAGAAGAATCTATAAATGCAGAATTTTATCATTAAGTTGCTAGAATTTTGATTTAAATTCCATTTAGAAAAAAAATTTTTGTACCTGAATAAAGAAGAAAAACATACTTTATATTATATAGACTTACTTTTTAGCATAATCTTCTTTATCAATGCAGGGATTCAGTGGTCAAATAAAAATCGCATTTACTGAAAATGTGAAAGTTTCAAATCTAAATCCAACATACGTTTAGCTACAAACATTGATCTAATCTTGTAAAAATAAAAAAGTGTTTGCAATTCCTTTTTATTTATTTATTTCATTTTTAATTTTTTCTAAATGTCATATCCCATTGGGATGTAGGCAATTATGGAGCTCCACAGATTTTATCTTCTAAGGAAAGACAGAATGATTTCTCACTGCCTTCTCCATAAATTTGAATTCAGAATTGTCCTTCTCTTAGACTGGCTGCCCCCCTCCCCCCTACCCAGACTAGAGAGTCCAAACTACTCAGCTATTTAAACTATAGGTAGGACTGGTGGTGGTAGGGAGGGAGTGGAGAAGAAATTAATTCTTGCTTTTGCCAAGAGCATTTTTGCAAAAGTGAACACAACAGACTAGGCTGGGATTTGAACACAGCTCACCAGTTCCACTTTCTGCACCAATAACTGTTATGCTACCCCATCACCTCGCTTATAATTCACCTTCACTTTTTTATTTGTCCACTGGTACATAAGTCAATTGCATGTTAATATTACAAAGGGTCACATGGTTATAACACACTATTAAAGAAATCAAGCAGTGAACTTACCAATCAAGTCTTGTGATATTTTGTATAAACTGAATGACGTCTCTACCCATTTCAGAATCATCAGTCATCAGTAATTTCAGTAAAAGATCACTTTTTAGAACTGGAGTAAAAAAAAAAAAAAAAAAAAAAGAAAAATATATTTGTGCTCAACAAAAAAATGGAGCATCAAAAGGGGAGTTTTTCCATCTATTATTTTAACTACCTTCACTCATCAGCAATGTTTATTGTTTTAAAAAGTACTGATTAGAATTGTAGTAAAGCCTAAAAATATGATGAAAGTGAATTTATACAATCTTTTTTGGTCTTGAGAATTTACAACAGAAATATTAAACACTATTAGATTATTTATTTACCTGAATAATTTTATAACATTTGAAAAACTAAACAATTATAACTAATGCAATGCAATATTTATCATTTACCAAAGAAACAAATATGAAAACAATTTTTTATTCAAATTTATAAACATTTACTAAATTATTAAAATATTTGAACTATAAGGAAATTATTATTTACCATTTTATAAAGTTTGAATCAATTAGCAATTAGCCGATGTTCTGCCAACCATTCCAATAAACAATATTAATAAATAGTGTAAATAAACAAAATCTTTAACAAATAAATGGTGTTTATAATAAACACCATTTATTTGTTAAAGATTTTGTTTATTTTGTTGTTAATTCTGAAGAACAAAGAAAATATATAAATTCACTTTCATGTTTAGATTTTGTTAAAATTCTAATCATCACTTTTTAAAACAATAAACATTGCTGAGGAGTGAAGGTAGTTAAAATAACGGTGGTGTCAATGAAAAAATTGTGTTTGACACTTCATTTTTTTGTGAGCATGAAGGTCAAAGTTTGCCTTAAAGTTGTTCAGGAAGTAAATGCTGCATTTTTAAGAAGGAAATGAAAATGGATACCAATAGAAACTAAGTTATTTTTCTATTGCCCACTGATGAAAAGCAACCTAATTGTTCTGGTATTAAGAAAACATTTCACTAATCAACAACAAATGATCATCTGAAAGCTGTTAACTGATGAGTATAATAAACAAGGAAACAATTTCCAGATGATTTTATTTTTTCCTGAGTGAGGCCTTTTGATGCTGGAAAGATAAAAACTCCTTGTTGTGTTATGGATTCATTCTGTAACACAAACTAGGTGTTGTAACTAAGGATGAGATGTTAGCCAAGAGAGGAGAAGATTGTCTAATATCATTGCTTGTACATTGGACATTTCTTTTTTTGTTTTTCTTCGAGATCTGCTTCAATGTTTTCAAAAGAACTTTATCCAAAGTTGTTCTTCAGGCTTATAAAGATCACAGTCATCTTTTGAAATTTGCACAATCACTACTGGCATTTAAAGTCACTGCTAATAATAATAATTGTAAGAATAATCTTTGTCTGTATTGAATTACTTGCCTTCATACATTTACATACATATTTAACATGACACACATTTAAGTCTTTGTCACTCATGGAATTAAAATGTTACTATAAATAATGCAAAATGCCTGATGGAACAGATGTTAAACTTAATTGAGGTCTTTCTTGTTTATATAGAAGTTGTTTAGTTGTTTTTGTTTAGCAGTATATCAACCTCTATGGGTCATTTGATGCCAAAATCTAAATATATCGAACACAATCTTATGGCTTCAACTAAATATATTTTGAATGCAGTAGTATGTCTTCAACTACAGATAAAATGTATTGTTGATCATTTTGCTTTAAAATTGTATTTTTTGTAATTTCACTACAAATATGTATTGCTGGTAATTTATTTTTATATAAAAAGGTATTGCTGTTATTTTTACTATAAAAATGTATTTTTATATTTTCACAGTGTTGTGTTTTTGCTTGGGAATTAACTATTTGCCTATAGCTGGGACCCTAACGGGTGCTACAACATTCCTGGGAATAACAACAATTAAGAGGTGGTTTGATGCTCCTTAAAACGTCCAATCCCCTGATCAGACGCCTTGTTGCCAGATGTAGTTTAGCATCATACCGAGGATGTTTATATAGAACTTTGACTTCCCACTAGTTGGTTGATTTCAAATCTCTCTATTACTTTATTACTTTTCCAACAACAAATGTATAACATGATCGTCATTTTAAAAAAAAAAAAAACAAACAAAAAAAAAAAAAACGCTTGTTTTGAAACTATCCCCCTTAGAACCCCCCCACCCCCGCAAAAAACAAAAAATAGAATTACATAACATACATAGCATGAAAAAATATTTTAGTAATGAATTTGTATACCCCGTTCATGCTCTGATCTTTCATTCACCACCATTTTTTATTCAAAAGAAAAATTTGCAATGACATTTGGAGGAAGAGTTGTTGCTTATTGACAAGCATAACATTCAGATTTTAATTTTCAAAACTAATATTTCTTTCCAAACTTTCTAAATAAAATATTAATAAGATGATAATTAAAAAAGAATTAACTTGCAGGACTCATCCCCATCTGCCTATGCATTAAAAAAAAAAAAAAAAAAAAAAAAAAATGAAAAGTGACTCACTCAGTTTTGGCAAGAAAATATATGCACTTGCCAAGTAGCTCAGAGACTCAAGAACCATTCTGAAATGTTTGCAAAAGTCTTCTCGGAGTTTCTGTGTGCTCTTGTCAAAACAAAAAAATGAAAATATTTTCAATCAGTAATCTTAGTAAAGTAAAAAGAAAAAAAAAAAAAAAAAAAAAAAAAAAACAGTGCCCAAAAAATTGGATGAAAACAATTCATACATACTAACATATGTAACAACATTAAAGAAAAAAGAAAAGTGGAACTAACAAATGCTTTTGAAAACTAAATAACCAATTCTTCTCAAAATTGGCATTTCTCTAAATGCAGAATATTTCTGTACATTGAAGTATACCATGGCTTAACCCATAACTGACATACATATTTGCAGAATAAAGACTAGTAATAAAAAATATTTACTCTAAAATTATTAGATTCTAAACTGAGAGAATTACATTTCTAGAAGTGAATTTGTCAGCTTCTCTGACAAAAGTTGATTTGAGATTTTATTGCAATGTAGAAGCTTAAATGGTCTCAAGTTTTCTCTTTTATAACTTAATAAAGGAATTTGCATTGGAGAATTCAAAATGTTCAGGATTTTGGACTTATACAAAATGTTACTGCATTACTAAATCACAACTTAACAAGATCAGATAACAATTACATGATACAGTATTTTGTACCCTAAACATTTTCTCAGATATTCATACACAGTGGGTACTGAAGAGTTCTCAGGCTGTCCCACTTCCCAAAATCTGACTAAATGACTAATCATCAGAATTTAATGTATAGGACACTCAGTGAGGATCAAACTCACTGTTCAGTCATAATTGATCTAGCAAAACAAGCTTACTAATCATTACACTGGATGAAAGGAATGGGCGTGCATGCGAGGTGGAGAATCCCTTTTTCGACATGCCATAAACTTTTCAGTCTATATATTTTCCTCTAGGAAAGTTGTCTTTCTTAAATAATGCTTTAGCCAATTCTGCCACAAAAGCCAATGACTAAACAAGGTATAAATCTATGGTCATATAATTAACTCTCTATACCAATTCTTGGTGCCATATCATTAGTACTACCTAGTAGCAGATCTGTACCCCGATTTAGTCATTAGCTTCTGTGGCTAAATTGGTTTTGGTATTTCCATGAAATCTCTAGAATATAAATCCCATTATAAAATTTGGTATTAATTATAAAAATAGTGCAGTATTGATTACATGTGAAAAAAAAAAAAAAAAAAATAATATAAATTATAGGTTTCTAAAACTCAAACATCAATTATAAGTTTCCACCTATAATGCATTAATGGGATGCTGGATATTAATAGGTTAATGACCAAAGAGTATTCTGAGAAAGTTGGGATAAAGGGAAACAATAAAATGATGAAGAAAATTCATTACAATTTAATAATTCCTCTACCCCTATTTTGACATAGACAGAAAATTAACAAACTTCTAAAATAGCTTTAAAGAAATCCTAGCATTTGCAATTCATCAGCTGAATTGGATAGCTTCTGAATGTCCGAAGATTAAAAAATACATAAAAATAAAAGTATTTTTTGGAGTTCCCATTTTTCTAAAAATTGTTCCGAATAAAAAAAAAATTCATATACATATGAAAACAAAACAGTACCCATTTGACATCTCCAAAGACCCAAATGAGTTTTTTTGCTCAAAACTTGTTTGAAAAGATAGCAACATAATGAAAGGACAACAATAAATATTACAAAAACATGTACATGGAATTTTGCTATGGATTTTACAAGAATTCTGGTAAAAGACTAGAACAATTCATGCATGTATAAATTTGTAATTCATTTCAATTTCAGTCAAGTTTGCATAAAGTGTGACCGGAACTTACCTTTAGTCCAGGAATACGACAATATTCATCATGAATCTGCAAAGCTAAGCTTAACATATTGTTTACAGCTTTAGGAAGGCTTTCCTCCTTGAATTCCAATGAGTCAGCAAAATCTATGCCAATACACATTTTACTGAAAGAGAAAAGAAAAAATTTACAAGTTTTTCTTTTTGTCATATAAATATTAAATGAAACTTATAAAAACAGATTCTAAAATTTTCCTTGGTAAAGATTTTTCATATAGAGAACATAAGGAAATAAAAATGTAGTTAATAGACAAAAAAAACTATTTGATTGGTTGGTTGATTTTGTTTAACGGCATATCAACACCTCTATGGATTATTTAATGCTGAAATCTAAATATTTTGAATGCAATTTTATACTTTCAGAGTAAATGTATGTTTTTTTTTGCTATAAAATGTATTTTTGTTGGTCATCATTTTACTATAAAAATGTATTTTTTATACTTTTCTAGTGTTTTCATTTTTTTTGGCAGTGGGTGTTCACTATTTGCCCATAGCTAGGACCATAATAAGTGATACCACCCCAGATCAGGGTAGACCTGGAAACAACAGCAATTAAGTGGTGGTTCCATGACCTTCAAAACCTCCAATCTCCTGATTGCAGACTTTGTTGCTGGATGTAGTTTATTGTTATACCCAGGACTACTCATTGGTGGGGGTCTTACTCCTCTGCAGATGACAGCATGTAGAAACTATTTGAATAGACAGATCATAGTAAAAAGAAATATGGGGAAAGTCTTGGGAAATCATTGCACTTTTTTTTCTCAAGAAGGCATGGCAATTCAAGATAAAGAAATAGAATCCATAGAGAGACATGATTGCCTTCATCCTGATGGACATGGCATTTAAACTAAAAAACATTTTTCCATCTTCCAGAAAATTTCAATTCTTTGTAAATGCACTGATACAGTTATTGTATGAGCAGTTAAAATAATATTTTGAAGAGTTATATTTTTGTTTTACAGTATATCAACCTTAATGTCAATAACATTTTTATTGCTGGTAATTTTTTTTTTGTTTTTAAATGTATTGTTTGTAATAATTTTTCCAAAAATGTATTGCTGGTATTTAAAACCGATCTTTAAACTTTCGTAGTGTTTTTATCCCAGTTTGGGAGTTAACTATTTGTCCATAGCTGGGACCTAACAGGTGCTACCACTCTGGGTCAGGGTGGACCTGGAAACACCAGCAATTAAGAAGTGGTTTCACACTCCTCAAAACCGCCTAATCAGAGTCCTTGCTGCTGGATGTAATTTATCGTCATACCCAGGATGCCTAAATTGGGGAGTCTTACCCCTTTGCAGGGGTGCAGTTGGCATATTATGAAGCCCCAGCTGACAGGTCATATAAAGAGAGGAAAGATTTTAATATCAATGGAGAAAATTATGAATAACAAGATAAAGAAGTCATACCTTAAGACATCTGAAAGTTTTGCAGCAGTGCTCCAACCACCATCTATCATGGTATAGTCACGTTTTAGGAAGATAATTATAGTCTGAATAAATTTATATTTCCATAGAAGTTTTCGAATAGTGGCTGCTTCTTTAGACACTGAGCTCACAGCTTCCAACATATCTGCAAAGTAAAATTCCGAAAACTAAAAAAGCCATAATTGAAAAATAAAATCTATAAGTAAGAGGATAACTAAATTCAAAACCATATGTGTTCCTATTGGGGTACAAACTTGAACTGTAACAAAGGTTCGCCAAACATAGTTATAGTATAAACCAGTGCTTCTCATACAATCTGATGCAAATGACTGGTGAGCAAAGTTTTACAATTCAGCTGAGGCTTCGGGGGGCGGGGGGCACTGTAGCCCTTCTCTTGTTTTTTGTGATAGTTCCTATTCCAATATCATTTTGAGACTATCTGTACTAAACATGAGAACATAATGTCTTATTCATTCTAATGCCAGTCATCATTGACGTAACAAGTCTTCCCAGTGTGCCAGAGACAGGTGCCATATTTGTGATACTTACTACTTCTGATCCTACACACTAGTCATGCATGCAGCTATGTTGTTACAGACTTCCAGTGAAATTTGAAAATGTGCTGGGCAGCTAAATTATGAATCTAAAAAATTAAATGCTAATTTTAAAAATTTTGGTCCAAATCCATGTGGCTATTCCTTTTTTCCACAGGTGATTTTTTTTTTTTTTTAAGCCAAGTTAGAAATATATGTCCATGACCATGAAAATGGCCTTTTGGTATTTTTGTGTAGTTCCCACACAGTCCATACACCACACCATCATGATGGTGTTGTTGCTACATGTATTTCCGTTCAGTTTTGCTGTTCATGCATTCGTTAGTTCTATATAGTAATGAATCACTTTTTTAACACGTGGGAGTAATGAAAAATGTAACCATAAAACTAAAACTGAAATGAAAGTGTTACCCCTTTACTTTTTGTTGTGATATATTTATAATTCTTTTGTATTCATTCATTCATTTATTTTAATTACCTTATCTGCATACGAACTCTTTTCATTACACTTTGACTTTTCGAGATCTCGTGTGCACTTTATAAATTTGTGGATGTTCGCGAAACTGTTTTTATTTTTACAGTTAGTTTTTTTTTTTAAAAGAAGAAATCCCTGAAAATATTATTTCAGTAAAAAAGAAAAAATACAACAAAATGTGAATATACCAAAATTCATCTCGAAACTTCTCATACAAAAATGATTCAAAATAAAATAGTTTTTTGAGAGTTGGTGTTTGCATACAACACATTTTTTTCAGATTGGACAGGGAAAATCTACAGTTCACTAGTTAAAAAAAATTTATTTGTAATTTTTCAGTGTAATATATTGAAATGGGGAGGGGGTGAAACTAACCCCCAGAGCCAAATCCAACAAATATTTCTAGATCAATGACATGAAAACAAAATTAATTCAAATGAATAAATACTAAAAAATTAATTTAAAAATCGGATAATTCCTTGATTTTTGACATTTTTTTAAAACTGAGCGGGGGGGGGTAGCTTTTTTATTTTTGCTTTTGTTATCGACACAAATATATACATTTTTTGGTGATACTTCTTGGGAAAGTTGGGCAAATGCATCGATACGAAGCTGCACTAAACTATAATACAACAACAACAACCTTCAATTAACTAACAATAACAATCATCCGTTCAAAATCCAGGTACAGGTGTATAAACTTTTGCACTCTCAATTTCACGATCCCCCCCCAAAAAAAAGCACACACACACAAAGGTTCTCAATCAAAAACTTGGAAATATGAGGAATTAAAACGATAAGTCTTGGTAACATAACTTTAATTTTTATTTAACAAAATTTTACAAGAAATGTTTGGATTACTACAGTACACCCACCACCAAAAAAAGAAACGAAGACAAGAATTCTTCTTACCCTTAACTTTCAGTAAAAGACCCGGGATTTTCCTATTCCCTGAATTGACAATCTCCGAAGAGAGAGATCGAAGTTGATTTTCCCATTGCTTTACATAATTAGCGCCAACGTAATTTTCTCGTAGATCAACAGACATTGCCATAATCGCGAAACGACATTAAACACTAAACAGCGTTGTTATGCAACAGACAAAAACGAGCCTCAGTTTCGTAACCAAATTTGGTTCAATTTCAAAGTTATTTTTGTTCTGTACGATTCACCAGAAAAAAAGAGCAAGGCAATGAATTACTTAATTCAGTTTTTCTATCCACCTATTAACTTATTATTACAAGATCACATCCGCGTAGTAAATCAATAAGTCAAGTTCAAGTAGTTTTAGACGAACACTTGTAAAATCCACTAAGATGCAGGATAACTTTATAGAACTTTTTTATATTCGATTTCTCCAAATCTACTAACTTTAAAACACTTTTTGGTGCACAACTTCACAAAACATACTTACAAAATTATGGAACTTTTGTTGTATTCAATTATTAAAGAACTAGAGATTTATGCTGATCAATCACGATTCTAAAATCGATCTCTACGTATCCGTTCGAACAAAGGCAAGGAAAAATGTCCAGTGAAGATTATTTTCATTATTTCAACAAAAAATGACAAATTTTGCCGCTAAATAATACGAAAGTAATGTTTTGATTTGTGTTGCTAACTCCATTACTATCAAAAGAAAAATGGCGGCCTCCTTTGGATACACATGTAAAATCGGTCCTTCAATTCTTAATGCTGATCTTTCTGCACTTGCTGAAGAATGTCAACGGATGATAGACTCCGGTGCGGATTACTTACATTTGGATGTGATGGACGGTCATTTTGTTCCCAATTTAACTTTTGGTCATCCTGTTGTGAAATGTCTTAGGCCCAAAGTACCAAATGCTTTTTTTGACATGCACATGATGGTAGCCAACCCAGAAAGAGTGTGTATTTATTTTCTTTGTTTATATATTTTTTTTTTAGTTAGGTGGAGTAAAGCATATTTATTTGGATTGCATCTGTTTATTGCGTTAACATTTTTCTAGTTCGTATTTTCACCATTTGTAGCGTTAGTTTTACGATTTCTTTTTAATTCGCGATATATCTATTTTTTTTAAGATGTGGACGAGGAACGTACACTTTGATACTGAAGAAGTCTTAATTCGTTTGATTTTTAAAAGAAACAGAAAAATAACTATTTTAACAAAACAAAAAAAAACTGTTTAAAATGGCATTTTAAATAATGGTAAAAAAGAAAAAATCAATTTACATTTTATTTTTACAATATCACCTTCGTTTCGGTTTATTGGAGTAAATTTCCTTTTAAAAACATATATAAAATTTACACCGATTATGTCAGATGGCAACATTAAATAATTTCATTATGAAAATAGTGATGTAATAAATAGGTTTAGCGATTTTGACCCTCATTGAATGTTAGTTAATGTCAATTTCTGTTTGAATTTCTAATGATTAATACACGTAGGTCCTATGGGACAATAATAGTCTAGTCTAGTGGTTAAAGCGTTGGTTCGTAAATTTGGTGACATAGTCATTGTGAGTTCTAAAAATCCCTTGACTCAGTGGAAACAGTGCAAGCAATCACTGAACTTGAACAGTACTAAAAAAAATAAGAATTAGACGAGATATCCCTAGACTTGGGCAGTGGAAGGAGAACAATCTATCATCGTAGAAGAAAATGTTCAGTTCAGAATTCCCTACCCGGATCGATATATACACCTGATGAAGTCCGAAGGGCACAACAGCCGAAATGTTGTGATTATAAACACCAACTGAGGACAATAGTCCCAATGTAAATAGCGTACTGTAAAAAAAAAAAAAAAAAAAAATATATATATTCAGAAATTTTAGTACGAATACTGTAGTCCGTGCTGAAATACCTATTAAATTACGGAAACATGCACACAAAAAATTCACAGCCGCTCGCAGTGAGGAGGAACGAATAAATTGAAATAGCCAATTAAAACAAGTTTTGTAAGTTTTAAAGACTTGACAACCCAAACAATTACTTTATTAAACAAACACTGAGTCGTGCCATCTGAAGGGTAATAAAAGAGTTAAGGCGAGCCCACCCGTGGTCTAAGGGAACTCAAATTTGCCAGAGTGCGCGGTTGGGATTTCGCTAAGGCGAATCCAAAGAGAAAGAAAGATATCGCCTTGAGTTTTTTTATGTATGTTTCCGTGACGTCACACGACACATTTTCATCACAGACCATCTTCATCTATATACGGATTTTATTTATTTTTTAACTAACTGCTATTGTTTTATTTAAATATCGAGAATTGAAGAGAATCGAATGTATTTTTTGTTTGATCATTTTAAATTGATTTTCTTTCTTTCTTTGTTTTTAAAAGTTATTACCTGGAAAAAAATAAACAGACTTTTTGAAACGGGAGAGAAGAGAGAGAGAGAAAAAAATGAGATGCTGTCACTGTGAATGGGGGAAGTGAAAATATAGAGAAATAAACATCATTTAATTAATTTGAAAAAAATGTTTTTAACTGTTAAAGAAAATTAGTAACGTACTGTGGTTAATTCAAATTGTGATAAAACTCAAGTGTGTGTGTAACAGTGTGTGTATATATTTTAAGCACGTGGTACACTCATCATGAGTGTTTCTGTTTAGTTTATTATTTTTCTAAAAAGTGCACTATTTCATGGAATGTTAATAAAAATGTCTTTTTCCATGTAGTAGTGACAGTGTAATACCCGTTTTGTCAAAACAGCGTGATTTTTCTGTTGAATATTATTATTACACAGTCTGAAAACCTGTTTAGTTTGTGTTTTCTTTCTCGTATTTTCCTCCACTTTTCCTCGCCAATAATTGACATCGTTTTTCAATTTTCATTTATATCTTCCATGTTCAAGAATGTTCAATGAATCAGGTTCGAGGATTTTTTTTTTTTTTTGGTGCACCAATAATTTAATCAAACGTTACAAAAAATAAACAAAAAAAGAAGTGAAACACTAAAATTATCTAATCTGCTGTCTTGTAAACTATAACAACTTAAAAATTTACATTTAGTTGAGGGGAAAAATTGAAGCAGTGATAGATTTTAAATTTGAAAGCAGCAACTGACTTGTTAGGGAATAAAAAAACAATTAAATTTAGTTTAAGAAGTTTAACACAATTCTTTAAAAAGCGAGTAGTTGAAATAAATTACAAACATTTAAAAAAAAAAAAGTATTAGTTTGGTGCAAAAATGTCATTTTTTTGACGTTGTTGAATGTCAAAAACGACATTATTTTTGCACCAACCTAATAATTCTGGTATGTTGTTTGCCTGCTTTCCTCCTGGTTGAAGTCAGGGCAGTGTTTTTTTTTTTTTAACTACTTTTTGCTTCCATTTGATTTTTAGGACAAAAGAAGTAAAATTAATAAAAAAAAAATAAAAAAATTATACTATCTTTTATGGAAAATTTCTAATATGTATGTTGCTTTAAAATATATTTTTTTCTTAAAAAAAAATCAAGTTGCTTGATTTTTTTTTTTTTTTTTTTTTAATTGTTACTTATTTTCATTTTTACTTTTTTTTAGTTGCATTTAATTTTAATTGAGACTCTTACTTATCTTATCACTCTATGGCAGTGAGGAAAGACTGCTGGATCAGAAAAAAAGAATAAACTCTTGGGTAGGTACCTCCACTAATGCGCTGCAAACAGAGCATACCATGATGAAAAAAAAATGTCCCAAAATTGATTAAAAAAGAAAGCTTTTTAGCCTAATAATAATCTTTAAGAGGAAAAACTAAAGTGTTTTTGTTTATTTTAATTGAATTTTTTAATGTTCTATAGCACATTCGAAATTTTGGTTAAACATCTCGTTTTTCTTGCGTCAGTGTGGGTCCAAAGATTAATATAGGAAATTTTAGCGCCTTTTTTCCGGTAAAAAATACATTGATTCAGAAATTCATGCAAAAATCAAATAATTGTCGGATTTTAATGAAACTTTCAGGGCCTTATTCAAAAATGAATTATTGTTTTTTTTTTTTTTTTTTTTTTTAAAGAAATGACATTTAACGATACAAAAAATAAAATTGATTTCAATCAATATCATTTCTGTTTGAAATACGCACCAGAGCATTTTGCTTTTAGTGGAAGAAAGCTTCAAAAAAGCTTTTTCCTTTTTAAAAATTCATTTGAAACCTGAGGTATCGCAAATTAATGGAGGTACCTAAATAAATAATAATTGTATTTTTTACAAGAAATATTCTTGAAAGCACCCTTTCATTAAGTTGGAATCAAGTGATCTTGAGAATGCATAAGACACAAAAAAAATGTAATTAATTCTCCAAATCTCAGGACAGTTATTAAAGACTGAAAATGTCTACTCAATTTTTCCGTTAAAAAATGAGTTGACATTGGCATATTTCAATTAAAGTGAAATTTTTCAAGTTTTATGTTTGTTTCCAAATTTATGTTGATATGAAAGTGTTTTTAAACTTCAACTTTAACTCTTAATTTAATGTTTAAATCGAACGTTTATAAACTATGAAATATGCATACTTAGAAATCGTTCATAAATGTGAGAAACCTTTGACATTTGTTATTTGTGTAGTTTGAAAAGTATTAAACAAAAATTGAATCAGTTGTTGTTAGTAGCAGACGTTAGCCTGTGCTTACAAAATTACTTGGTTGGGTGTCTTAATTGTAATTATAAAATACTTTGGTAGATTTCCAAATTCACTGAACATAATTAAAGGCTTTGTTGTCTTATGAGTTTTTTTTTATTTTTTTGTTAGTCATGTCTTTTAGAAATCAAGAAGTGCATGTTTTTAATTTGGTTACAGAGATTTATGCCAACAAAGTCTGGGGTTCCTATTTTTCCAACACTTTTTTTTTTCTGATTTTTAACCCATTAATGCCCACTATATAACATTTGGTATTATAAAAATAAAAACGAAATCCAGTATTAATTATAGGTTTATAAGTAAAAAAAAAAAAAAAAAAATCCAGTATCAAAAGTTTATTAAAGAAAAACAAAAAAACCCAGTATCATAAGTTTATTAAAAAAAAACCCAGTATCATAAGTTTATTAAAAAAAAAACCAGTATCATAAGTTTGTTAAAAAAAACCCCAAAAATCCAGTATCATAAGTTTACTAAAAAAAAATCCAGTATCATAAGTTTATTAAAAAAAAACCCCAAAAATCCAGTATCATAAGTTTATTAAAAAAACTCAAAAAAAAAAACCAGTATCATAAGTTTATTAAAAAAAAAAATATCATAAGTTTATTAAAAAAAAAAAGTAAAAAAAAAAAAAAAAAAAATCCAGTATCATAAGTTTATTAAAAAAAAAATCCAGTATCATAAGTTTATTAAAAAAAAAAAAACCAGTATCATAAGTTTATTAAAAAAAAAAAAAAATCCAGTATCATAAGTTTATTAAAAAAAAAGCAAAAAAAACCCAATCAAACAAAAATCAAAGTTTATTAAAAAAAAAAGTATCATAAGTTTAAAAAAAACCCAGTATCATAAGTTTATTAAAAAAAAACCCAGTATCATAAGTTTATTAAAAAAAAACCCAGTATCATAAGTTTATTAAAAAAAAAAACCCAAAAAACTGTATCATAAGTTTATTAAAAAAAACCCAGTATCATTAAAAAAAAAACCAGTATCATAAGTTTATTAAAAAAAACCAATCATAAGTTTAAAAAAAACCCAGTATCATAAGTTTATTAAAAAAAAAACCATATCATAAGTTTATTAAAAAAAACCCAGTATCATAAGTTTATTAAAAAACCCAGTATCATAAAAAAAAAACCCAAATCCAAAAAAATCCAGTATCATAAGTTTATTAAAAAAACCCCAAAAATCAAAAAAGTATCATAATCACTAAAAAAAAAAATCCAGTATCATAAGTTTAAAAAAAACCCCAAAAAATCATCCAAAAACCCATCATAAGTTTATTAAAAAAAAAAAAAAAAAAAATCCAGTATAAATTAAAAAAAAAATCATCAAGTTTATTAAAAAAAAAAATCCAGTATCAAAAAAAAAAAAAAATCCAGTATCATAAGTTTATTAAAAAAAAAAAAAAATCAAAAAAAAAGAAAAAAAATCCAGTATCATAAGTTTATTAAAAAACCCAAAAAAAAATCATAAGTTTATTAAAAAAAAAAACAGTATCATAAGTTTATTAAAAAAAAAAAAAAATATCATAAGTTTGTTAAAAAAAAAAACCCAAAAACCTAGTATCATAAGTTTATTAAAAAAAAAAAAAATCCATTATCAAAAAAAAATCCAGTATCATAAGTTTATTAAAAAAACAAAAAAAAAAAATCCAGTATCATAAGTTTATTAAAAAAAAAAAAAAAAAATCCTGTATCATAAGTTTATTAAAAAAAAAAAAAAAATCCATTATCAACTATAGTGTTATATAAAAAAAATCTAGTATCAATTATAGGTTTCTATCTATGATCCATTAATGTCTATTGTCCCATTAATTGATAAATATGTACTAAAGTAGTTTCAAATATTATGTTAATGTTCTTATAAAATGAATATTTTGAGTTTGTCAGAAATAAAAAATCTTTCTGACATTTTAACTTTTATTTCAGTGGATAGAAGGAATGGCTGATGCAGGGGCGAATCAATACACTTTTCATATTGAAGCTACTGATGATCCACAAGGTTGTGTACGGAAGATCAAAGAGACAGGAATGAAAGTAATGTTTTTTTTACTTTTTAATTCTCATCAAAATTCCTCGTTCTTTTGTGGAATGGCCAACTATTGAACAAAGCAGCTTAAATTCATCAAAATAGTCTTGAAATTTCTGTCCATGTCTTTAAATCTGTTTATAATTGTCTATTTAGAAAAATGTAAATTATCAATAATTGCAATTTAAAATGAATAGTACTGTTCTGCAAATATAGACTGCAATTAATGTCCAATTTTTCTACTTACTAATAAATTAATTTAATGTACAGGTTGAGTCATAAGTATGTTCTGTTTTGGGAACCAGTTTTAATGGTGAAAGAAATTTTTTTTTTCTTTTAAATCATTTCACTTCAAGCAAGGTAATAAAAGATGTAAGGAGTTACTGAGTATGGATCTAACCAACTCCTTTCATTATCCTTGAGGACACATGGCACAGTGGATACGGGCATTGGTTAGATCCAGTGACAGGACCCAAAGAGTGCAAGTTCAATACCTGGTTAAGAACTTTCAGAGGGAAATTAACAAGAGATAACTGATAACTGACATCTATTAAACATGGCATGTGGAACTAGAACAGTCTACCCCAGAGAGCGAAATAAAGGGTTAAGTTCGACATTCCAACCACCTGAAGAAGGCCGGAGTGTACAACAGCTGAAACGTTGTAATAAATATGGTGACAAAGATGAGGACAATAGTTTGAATAGTGTAAATAATGTAAAAAAACTACGTTATTGTGATGGGAAAATAACTGAAGACTAACTACTAATCATACATGGCAGTTAAGAATAAGTTTTGGGTACAATAACATACCTTTGCACAACATTGGGAATATGCACAATGAATTAAAAAATAAATTTCTTTACTGTGTTAATGAAGGGATTGAAAGTGCATAATGTGATGGGTGTTTAAGGCATTAACGCTATGGAGACGTCTAGAAAATATCTAGTGTTTTATTTCCTTTCACTTTCCAAATTCTGTGATCGGCTTTAGCAGATTTGAGTCTTAGTTTGAAATTATGTTTAAAAATCTCAATACTTGTATTTGCCATTACAATGTTTCAAAATAAAAAGTAATGATAAGGAGACATTGAGTTGTGTACAAAATCATCATACAAGAGACCAACATTAAATACTAACAAGACATTAAATACTAACAATTCATGTCATATTTGTTGAAAAGTTTTTAGATTTTGTTTTTTTAAATTATTACAATTGAATTTTTTTTTTTTCTAAATTCTTACAATTTAATTTTTTTTTAAATTATTGTAATTTAATTTTGGCTTTTAAATCTTTGCAATTTAACATTTATTTTTTTTTTATTTAGTTCTTGCAATTTAGATTTTTGCTGATAATTGTGCTTTTATATTTCTAATTGTTTTTAATAGGCAGGCATTGGTATAAAACCAAACACCTCTGTGGAAACTGTACTGCCTTATGTTGATATGGTAGACCTGATTTTAATAATGACAGTAGAGCCTGGTTTTGGCGGGCAGAAGTTTATGGAGAATATGATGCCCAAAGTAAGTATTTTACATCTGTTTTAGAAAACTTGAAAACTGACAAAAGTAATCTTGTAGTGTAGTCAGTGGCCATGGTTAAATTTTAAAAAATGATAAAATTGTCTAACAAACAGAATTGACAAAGTTTGCAATAAGCAATAAAACCAAAAGAACAGGGCCAAAAAATAATATAAAGCAAGCAAACAATATATGCAAGGCAAATTAACTGTAATATGGCAAAAGGTTCACAAACTAAGAATTAAAGCTTACTTTATTTCTATGCTAGGCCTACTAAGGGGGTCCTCATAGCTTAGTATATGTGCTGATTTTTCAGACCTAAGTCCTCAGTGTTCTTCCCTAAAAAGAATTATTATAGTTGGTTCAAGTTTTTACTTACACACTTTTATGGTGGTTTTCTAAATGTAGCTTAGATGTGGTAGTCAATGAGGATCAAACCCACTACTCAGTCTTAATTGATCTTGCAAGGCAAACTTGCTAACCATTACACCACATCGAAGTGCCTTGATTTTCTAAGCTTGACTTAGATGTGGCACAAAGCCAAAAGTATGAGGCACCCAGTTAGGATAAAATTCACTAGTCGGTTGTAATTGTTCTTGTTCTTGTGAGCTAACCATTACATCATGTCAAGGTGCCCCTTACACACTTTTATGATTGCATTGTAGAAAAAAAGTGTTCCACTGGTCTTTCTTTTCTTTTTTTTTTTTTTTTTAGTCTTTCCACAATTACTACTGATGTAATGAATATGCATACACCTGGGTTCCCTCTCACAGTAATATGATTGGCTGGTGTCAGCCATAAATGCAGACTAATGTGGAGGTACATGGACCACGCCTATTGTTTTCACCTATAGCCTACGACTACGACGAGGACCAGTTCCATTACGGTTACCTGCTAGATTGTCCTACCCGGTTACAGTAGTCAGCAACCACTTTGCTACTTCGAACAAATATATCCCTTTTCAGGACATATCAACTACATTCCATACTTCAAATACCTCCGTGTATGGATCAGTTATAACAAATTTAGTATAGCAAATAAAGAAATTGAACATAGAATAGGCTGTGCTTCAACCAAAACATTAACCTGAAAACACAAATCATGTTCTTAAATATCCTCATCAGATTAAGACTCTCATATGGATGTCATGCATAGTGCCAAACCTGTTCTGAAATATCAAACCTGTCTGCTGCATGCAACCACTTTCTAAGATCAATAATTAAAAATGACTTTGAGTGAATGAAACCTATGAGTCTTGGTAAAGACCATTCTTCTTTGAATGTTGTAGATTTGTGTTACGGAATCATGAACAAAGAACTGTACCAAACAACAGAAACCACATCACTTGAGGAGTTTCAACAGCAGCAACAACTAAAATGAATATCACATGTAACTTGAAGGGAATGACATAATCTAGCTGTTAACATTCTACACTACAAATAAAAAGTTAGGAAGGAAACCTGCCATCAATACTGGAAAGAGTGATAACAACTACTGAAACCTATTTTCCTGAAAAAATTGTTTTAAGAGACAAATTTGATAAATTTCAACTGGCAGAGGTACTTTCTGCTCAGTAAATGAAAGCCAAATGTTTTCTTATCAGGAAGCAGTTAATATGACCATTATTGTTAGTGATGAAGAGGACAGATACTACACTTTGATCCCAGCCTGATGGCTAGGGAATGAAGAAAAGCATAACTCGAGCAGCACTAACTTTTTGGTCGATAAATGCCAGATGTTTCATTATAAGGAAACAACTAATATTACCATTACCATTCTTTGACAAAGTTTTAAAAATGTTTAAAAAAAAAACATTTCTTTACTTAAATTCTCAACCTTTGACCCATTAAATGATTTTTCGATCTTACTTTATTGCATTTAAGAAAAATTCCATCTTCTAATTATTACCCCCCCCCCAACCTTTTGTATTAGATGCCTAAAAGTAGATACAAAAAATATTAATTTATATCTAATATACTCTTATGTGCCTACTAGAAGGCAGTGGATACTTATTTATTTATTTTTAGAAATATTCTGATCCCTGCTCTCATTAAGACTTATTAATTATTAATTCCTGATTATTAATCCCCCCCCCCACTCCTCTCCGAGTTCAAACAAGAAACAGTAATCCTATAATAATTGTGCTTATCCATCCCTTCATTAGTTCACATGGCCGTTATAACCTGTCAATACTTCATAAATAGTGGACTTTTCCGTTTTGATCACCTGGAAAGAAGAGAAAAGACACTACTTGGTTTCAGTGAGAAAATGAAAGAAAGAAGGGAAGATAGAAGTGTTTAATGTCTCCTGCCAATACCTCATAAATAATGGACTATTCCTTTTTATGTGGAAAGAGGAGGAAAAGACACTACTTGATTTCAGTGAGAAAATGAAAGAAAGAAGGGAAGATAGAAGTGTTTAATGTCTCCTGCCAATACCTCATAAATAATGGACTATTCCTTTTTATGTGGAAAGAGGGGGAAAAGACACTACTTGATTTCAGTAAGAAAATGAAAGAAAGAAGGGAAGATAGAAGTGTTTAATGTCTCCTGCCAATACCTCATAAATAATGGACTATTCCTTTTTATGTGGAAAGAGGGGAAAAGACACTACTTGGTTTCAGTGAATGAATGAAAGAAAGAAAGAAAGATAAGATAGAAGTGTTTAATGGCTGTTTCAGTGAAATAGAAAAAAATTGTCAATTTCAAGTCTTTTCATTTGTACCCACTTCTTAAAATAACTAACATTCATATTTATAATTGTTATTGCAATATTTTATAAAAGTTGATAGGATCAAATATTTAATGCTGTGATAGGGGAATTTCTACGGATATTTTATTATAGAGCTTGCCACAAGCTTAACTCAATCATTAACTTAAGAATTAAGATTCATCAGAGTTTTAACCCATGAAAACTTCAGTTTTCCTGGGTTAAAACTAATTATAATTGGTTCAAGTTTCTACCTGCATTGCATTGTTTAAGGAATAAGTGCTCCATTGTTCTTTTTTATTCTTTCTGGAATTACCATGTTCTATTCTTTGATAAACTTGATTGTTCTTTTATTTTTGTTTTAAATATTTCTTAGATCCTAAATTCTTTTTTTTTTTTTTTTTTTTTTTTAAGTGATCTCCACCAGTCATCCCCCTCCTGGTCGTTGTTTACTCCATATTGAGGAAAACTCTTACAGTTATTACTCCCTCCCTTTACATTGTATTAGGCACTTAGTACTTGTTGAAATAATTCCTGAATTAATTACAAGGTTAAACAACTTTAACCATTGCATCCTAATTACTTTTGGCTGAACCTGTTTGATTCTTTTGTAGGTTCGTTTGTTGCGAGAAAAATTTCGGGACTTGGATATTGAAGTCGATGGTGGTGTTGGAACAAGCACAATTCAATGTTGTGCTGATGTATGTCTGATATTTTTTTCTTTTTTAACTTTTTTTCAGTGATGTTGTCCTATTTATGTTCACTTTGAGAAAGTCATTTTATATCAGTTTGTTAGAGGAAAGAATATCATAACATTTTGCAGAAAAGATCATACTACACTTTTTTATTTTTTTTTATAAACATGACAAGGTTCAGATTATTCTATAAATTGAGCTTACTTTTAAGCATGAAGCAAGACTCAACTTTTTTAGGCAATTTTATTTTAAAGTGAAATTTTACCATTCTCAAATTTTGAGATAAATTTTATTTTGCACTACACAAAAATGAAGGATTAGTGATTGTTTTGACAGGAATGACTAACAAACTTTAAAGAGAACCTAAAATTTATGGACATTAACTGAAATTTCTTTCATTAGAGTTGTATCATGCCATTAATGCCATGGGTTGTAATTGAAGCATGAAATAATACTCACACTTGAGAACTTGCTAAGCATGACCAGATTCAGTTAAAATTACCTGATGCTAAAAAAGTGTGCTAACTTAAAGGAAAAAAAAATGAGGGCAATATGAAAGTAATTTGGTATTTTACATTGGTTACATGTTCTGAATGAGATCTAAACAACTCTACTGTTGCATGTAAGAAAGAAATTTGCTTTTTATATCATTAAAAGTAAAAAAAAAAAAAAAAAAAAATCCAAACAAAGTTAACAGGAAACGAAAGAAATAAAGATGTATATTCACAACCTGTTCTCTCCTATTTTTCAATGGATTATTTAATTGTTATGGTAAAATGAGGTTTGATTAATGCATCCTGTTACCTGGAACAGAACATAACTCTTGTGACAAAAGTGGAGTAAATGTTTTTAGATGGGAAAAGACACCCAGTCCCGGGGAATTCCAAACCTTCAGTAGCACCTCCCTCATTGCAGTAAGAGAGGTAGGGTTGGTGTAATATCTGTGACAGTGGTTGTCCTTGGACCATACACATGTATGTGTATGGTGCTCCCCATGCTAAATCGACCTTGTGTCACATCCTACTTTGGGAAGGCCAGGTAAATATACCTGTTATTGTAGCAACGAAATAGCCTGATCCCCACTTTTTGATAACAAGCTATGTGAGTGGAAAAAAAATGCATGTGAAGTCACATTGTGCTTTATATGATAGAGTAGATGATATAACATTCATTATGAAAATAATGTTGAAACACCAGTTCCTTTACAATCACTGAAGTTAAGCAACATCGTGCCTGGTCAGTACCTAAATGGGTCACTGTTTGTGAATACTAATATCTCAAAAAAAAAACATTCTCATAATCTAAAAATATTTTTCTGGCTTTAAATAACCTGCAAAAGGTTGATAAGCCATAGAAAACGAAAACATGTACTGTTGTTCGTAATATTTCTCAAGGCTTGTATTGTTTTCCAATATATTTTTGAAATTTCATACATCCCTTGAATATCAATTTACAACGATATGTTGAAACACCAGTTCTTGTACAATGACTGAAGTTAAGCAATATTGAGCCTAGTCAGTATCTAGATGGGTGACTGCTTGGGAATGCCGTGTGTTGTAAGTGAGTGTCATAATGAGTAATGGCTCAGTATTGTTAACCAGAGAGCCAAATTCCAGTTCCCATTTGATTTGCTATATTCACTTATGCACAAATACCTTTGGGAACTGTATGAGTTCATCTCATCTCCCCCAGTTATGGGTTAATTAGTAAGATTTGTATCACTAAATCGTTATCTCTCCTCCACCCAAATTCTTAAAATCTAGAAATATTACAATCTAAAAATATTTTCTGGTTCTAAATAACCTGTAAAGAATTGATAAGCTGTAAAAAAAAAAAAAAAAAAAAAAAATTGAACGCAAACATCTACAGTAGTTCATAATATTTTTCAAGACTGACATTATTTTCAAATATCTTTTTGAAATTTCAAAACATTTCTTATATCCCTTGAACTTAAGGCTAAAAATATTAACTTATGGCCATGTCATGTTGAAACACCAGTTCTTGTACGATCACCAAAGTTAAGCAATTTTTAGCCTGGTCAGTATCTAGATGGATGACCACTTGGGAATGTCAAGTGCTGTAAACTTGGATATGCAGGTGGTGTAACAGATAATGGCTTGGAATTGTTAAGCAGAGATTCTTATTGGGTTTGTTATATTCACTTATGCATAAATACTTTTAGAAAACGTTTGAAGCCAGCTCTTCTCCCCCCAGCTATGGGTTAATTAGTAGTGACTTGTATCACTAAATCATTATCTCTCCTCCCCCCCAAATTCTTAAAATCTAGAAATATGTTCTGTCTTTAAATAACCTGCAATGGTTTGATAAGCTGTGAATAAACAAATCAACCAAATCAAGCCATAATGAAAATATGTTTCTTATACATCTAATATACATTGCAAAGTATTTTGTTTTGTTTGTTAATCATTCTACTTTTTTTGCACTTCTTCACTGAAGAGTTCTAATTGAAAATAACGAACACTTTGCTGTCTGTAATAGTATAGAAAAACTGTTGATATGTCTTCCCAGTAAATTTAAATTAATGAACTTTATTTTCTTTTATAGGCTGGGGCAAACTTGATAGTCTCTGGCAGTGCTGTTGTTGGCAGTGATAATCCACGTCAGACCATCAGCTATATGAGAATGGTGGTAGATGAAGCGATCCAGAAAGGACAGTTGGAACGATAAAGTATTTGCAAAGAGTTAAAAAAAAAAAAAAAAAAAGAATAAAGGAAGAAAGAGCTGAATAGAAAGTTAAACTGCTTTTATCAACTGGGCCACAACCTTACAATCCCACCAGTGTTATGTTCTACTTTTTTTTTTTCATCATCTCATTCTCTAGTTTTATAAAATTTACTGGCTTTTTAAACAATTTTTTGTCCCTAACATTTATGTTCATTTAATTGCATCAAAATAACATAATAATTCCCTTTTTTTCCCATTTTTAATGTCCATTATTATTGAACTTTAGAGTAATTATCGAACTGAAAAAAAAGCTGTGTCGCAAGTATCTTTTGTACAATTCATAGTGATTGAAATCAGAGTTGATTCGTATTGTGCTGAACTGCAGTAAATTAATGTCAAATTTTTTTTATCTATGAAAACATTCTCAATTTGTGGGAACTAATTTTTTTTTATTTTTTTTTTATTAGTATCTGAACAAAATAAGAAAATAAGCAGTGATTGCTCAGTTTGAAATTTTGAAATAAAAATCTGCAAGTCTTCATTTAGTGAAATTCAGTGGATTAAATAATTTACAGAACATGTCTACCTGGAGTCCTTTTGTAGGTTTGAGTATAAAACCATTTTATCTCACTAGCTGGAATCACGTAATTTCCACAATATTTAAACCTCCAACTTTGAGGAAGGCAAATGACATACATTAGGAAACTGTTCTACCGTTTGAAATTATGGAAATACCAATATATATATATATAATCTGGTGAAATATAGCAAGGGCAAAACATGCAATCAAGTTTCAATGGAATGGTTTTCCATTTGTCATATTTTTTATACTTTGTCTGGATTCTGTATCTTATTTTACACACACACATGCATATATTTAGGTTTGTCATTATTTGAGTTAGTCACTTGTATTTATTTTTTTTAATATTGATGTGTTAAACTCATTTAAAACAATATAAACTAAATTTAAAATTTTCTTTGAACTTTTATTACAGTAAATAATTCAAATAATTACAGTTATTAAAAGAAAAACTCTGCTTACAGCCACATCACATTGAAACACTGTTTCCTGTAAGATCACTGAAGTTAAGCAACCTCGAGCCTGGTCAGTACCTAGATGGGTGATGACTTGAGAATACCTGGTGCTGTTAACTTGGATGTTTGGGTGATGTAATGGATAACAACTTGGAATTGTTAATCTGAGAGCTGAGTTCCATTTGCAGACAGGTTCATTATATTCACTTATGTGTAAATCTCCTAAGTGAAAGGTAGGAATCCATCCCTGCCAGCTAGAGGTTAATTAGTAAGACTTGTATCAATAAATAAATAATTATTTCCCCCAAAAATTCTTACACTCTAAAAGTATTTTCCATCTTTAAATAACTGCAAAAGGTTGATAAGCTGTTTTTTAAAAAAAAGAAAAAAGACAGATCAATCAAATCTGTATTTCCGAATTTAAATTTAGCCTAAATTTCAGTAGTGGAACACTGGACTAATGGATATATCATTTAATTGGCTTGAGGCTCAAATCGAGCAATAATCACTTGATTAAATTTTTATGTTGAAGTAAGTTTTTGTTTAGAAAGCCCAACATACATACATACATACATATATATATATATATATATATATATATATATATATATATATATATAAGAAACAATATTTTTTCTTTGTTATTGAAAGAATAATATTTTGTTGTAACCTAGGGAAGGTTACTCAATAGAATAATCACGAAGATTGGTAATGCACGATAATACTTTGGACACGAACAATGCACAAGATTTGCCAGCAGTGTGTAGAAGTAGTAGTCAACTGCTTGAAGTGAGTCAAGTGAATTTCACAATGAATTTCCAACTGCAGACCAACATACAGTATTAACTATTGTATTTATGTGAATGGGAACATACCCATTATCGTTTGTAGTTATGCTACAACACATTTTAATGCAGGTAAAAAAAATGCAGAATAATAATAATTATAGATTTTATTTTCAGTCTGATGTTGACAGTAGAAAAGAAAATTGTATTGAAATGCTTTAAATGTACATATTTACTAAGCTTAGTCTGGTACAAGGCCTCCATTGTAGGGCAAATGTAGTAGTCGTTATATTAGCCTTTACTCTACCAGAAACACCTTGCTTGTAAGTGCTAAATAAATTTTAATTTTAACCAAATTCAAAATACTTGAAGAAAATGTTTTGTCTGAAAAGGAATTTGTTTGTTATTATCAACAAAATGTTTAATCTGTTGTAAAATTGCAGTTAAGTGATTGATCGGGCTCGAAATGATTTAGTTTAAAATCTTTTAAGTTAAAATGCCAGAATTTCAATCACTTTTCAATTGTTCAAGTCACCTAAAGTTGGTTTGATTTAGTCAAATACCTGTGTGCTATATAATCCAGTATTTCCTGCTGTATGATATTTGGGAGAGAAGATGGGCATGGCCAAGTAACTGCACTTGTCTGGTGAAATGCCAAACAAGATAAGAAAAACCCAGTCCAACATAGTCCTCTTCATGTTTTCTAATCATTTAGATCAATACAATACAAAATAATTTGGCATTGTCCTGAAAAATATTTTTTTTTTTTTTTTATCCCTTTGTGTTAACCTTGGTCAGCACTTTCTTTTCTATATTGGGAAAAAGAAGTGAAATTTTACATTCTTTCAACCTCAGTGAAAAATTAGGTTTTTCTTCTAACTCTGAACACACACACACACACACACACACTGGGTTTAGCAGCAAAATTGTTCAGTTGTTAGATTAAACTTTGAACCATTGTATCTTATAAATGGTTAAAGATATCTTACTAGAATTTTCTGAGTTTTTCTAACCCTATTGTACTCTACTTTGAGCAATAAGAATATATAATTACTCTCCAAGCTTAACGAATTGTGATGAAATCAATCCTAAACAAAAATGACATGCTCATCATTAATTAATCACAGCTAAGGATCAGAAGATCATGAAGGATTGATATAAAGTTCATATATATATATATATATATATATATATATATATATATATATATATATATATATATATATATATCATTTACCAACTTATTCAAGATGATCTTCGCCCTCTTAACCTTGTAACTTACTGTCCTGTGGTAACAAGGTGCCTCACAGGTTTTGTGTATGATTTCATTTTCATGTTTTTTTTCACTGCTCTTTGAACTGTCATACCTAAAACTCCTCTCTTATGTGCCAAACGTCTTATGAATTGAGTTGGATCTTTTTAAATTTAATTGATCTCTAGCTCTATTTGAAACAATGATTCCTCTTATTGTAACCTCTTGATCCAGGTTTCCTCTCTACTGCTCCCACTTTTTAAAACTTATTCACCATTCTCTTGATGGTTCTTGAATGAATCTTGAAGATGGAAATTAGAGTATGAATGTTGGTACCATTACTGAAACCTGTATGATCTTTTTCCACTCATCATTGCTCAGTTGGGAAGACAGTTGGGTTGACACAAAATGATTTTAACCTGTTCCCTTTCTAGCTGAATAACTCAAAGGGTTTTTCAGTGATTCTTACAACAAAAGGTGCCAAGGTGGCTAAACGTTTTATCTGAAAACCTGGAAAAAAGAAACTTGAGTAGTTTAGTGGGGTTTTTTTTTTTTTTTTTTTAGATATTGAATATTTA